GCACTGTGGCATGCCGTTTAAAATTTGCCCGCTCTTCATGATTATTAACTTAATTTAGTTAGAGCTGGCCTTTTATTTCGCTTAATTTCATTAACAGCGTCGTTTAAAGTTTCAATAAAAAAGGCACAACCACGTGGAGAGCGCTTTAAAAAAATTTCACTTTAAAGAATGCACTGAAGCAAGCGCTCAGCATCCGGCCAGGGTCCGGTCCAGGGCAATTTTAAGCGGTCTGCAAAAGGTTGAAACCTGCCCCCAACCAACCTGCCCCCTCGCCCAAAGCCGGCCCCCTGGGGGCCGCATATGCTGCATTATTTATGATGCAAAGTGGGGCGCAGCATCAAGGGCGTTGCTGCAGCAATTGCGTGAAAGTCGCGGAAGCTGTCAAAGCCACAAGTTTCGACGTTATCCTCCAGTTAAGAAAAATTGGCGCAAAACAGAATAACAAAAAAACGAAAAAAGGTACAGAAAAAGCGAAAGGGCTGGGCACACGTGCGCCACAGCTAAGATCGGGCCATAAAACTGCAATTTTGGCAAGTTTCTCAAGCCTCGCAGAAACCCTTTCTCTTTCGAAGAAAGCGCTTTTTTTTGGTCGGGTGTACACCCGGCTGCGGCCCGTGTGAATTGCCAAAAAGAGCTTTACAAGTAAGAAAGAAGTAAATTCAGCGGGTAAGTGCAGTCGTGTTTGCCGACAAAAAAAAAACGAAACAGTTTTTCACAAATTATATAACCCGACTCTGGAGAGTTTTGCTTTCCTCGGCATTGTTGCGCCATCATTTGTTTACACTTGGCCATCAATTATTCAATCTTATGCGCACTGACTAAACCCACTCTGACTTACATAAATAGAAAAAAATAGAAACAAAAACACTTAACTAATAAATTATTGAATAAATGCTGCAATCAAAATTGTCGCCGTGAGTTGCCGCTTAACGCTTTTGTCTTCAGCCACAGTTGTTAGCCGTAAATGTTGATTATGTCCGTTGTATTAGATAATACTCAAATGCGTATCTCTATCTATAACTGTGCTCGTATCTGCCGTATCTGTATCTGTAGCTGTGACTCTTCTGGCTGCATATTGGTTAGGCCACACGGCTGCCGCATCAACTCATTTATGGAAAGTGAAAGTGTTGCCCAGATTTGTATTCGTGCATTTTTAATTTGTATCTTTAAGTCGCCGTGTCGCGTTGCCAGGCGTTGCTCAAATGTTGAAATATTTATGCTAATAGCTGTGGCAGCTCCGGTGACCAAACGATTACAAAAGCAACTGCTAATTTCTTGCGTGGAATGCCCCCACACATTGTCTCTCTGTGGGCCTGACCTCTCTGCTGCCTGTCATTTGGCCTGGCATTTGCCCGGGCTGAAAGCGCAGGCAAGGCTTTGAGCAAATCAAATGATCAAAAGTGCAAGTAAGAGTGAGCTTGCACTTTGATTTGCACTACCAAATGCCTCATCTTCACATCTTCGCTCTACTTAAAGAGATACATTTGTGTGCGTATTTATTGGGTACAGAACTATTTGGCATCATTAATTCAGCTAAACTCAGCATTTGTTTACCTTAGATATTTATCTTGGCCCATTTAAATCAGCGCTCAGATCTTGGCATCGACTGCGGCAACTTTCAGAGTTCACACCATGTTGCAAAAATAGAACATTATCAAATGCCCAATCTGCAGCTCTGGCTAGTTAAGAGACTTATGCTGAGGTGGGAGAAATCTTTAAATTGTGATTAAATCGTGTTTAGATTGGTTGACTTTTTACATTTTATTTTTCCCTTATCTAGCGTGTCGATGACAATTTAAATGTTTTATATAAATAAAATAAATAAATAATTCATTCATTTTATATTTATTCAATATATTTCGAACTCAAGCGAACTCTGCTGACAAATTGATCAGAGATTTTTAAACAATGTCCAGACAAACTGTCTATTGTGCAGTTTTATCACGTTTTGCGATCCATCTTTCAATTTATTAAAATAAGTTACGGTTTTATTTTAATTAAATGCCAAGCATGCCTATTAATATTGTTTTATTAGTAATTATTATTTATTTTTGTAATAAACATAATCATTTTTTTATTTATTAAATTAATTTTGGAGCTAGTTATAGGTTCATATTGTTTTAAATATTTTAAAAATGTTAACTGTTGTTCCATAAAACTTTATGTTTATATTCAAAATAAAGCAACAAAAAAAATGCAGAAAATATATAAAAAATTCTTAATTTTGTTTATTTATTTATTATTATTTATTTCGAATTTATTTGACGCTTGTTTGCAGGGCCTTAAGAGTTCGTTGCCGCTTGCCGCTGTAGACCCCTAGGGAAATGCCGCCCACTTAAGTAGACGGTCGCAGGTTCAAAATTAAGCAATTAAGTGGCAGTTGGCAATTGCAGTTTGTTTAGCGTTTTCACTGTGGACACTGTGAACTGCAGTGGCATCAACTGCAGCATTGACATGGCCGGCAAACTGCGGCGGCAGCAAGAGCTGTTGTTGTTGTTGTTGTTTGCCTGAACACCCACTGCGAGTGCTTGGGCCAACTCATGCACACTCATACACACATGCACCCGCTCAATCAGTCACTCACTCACTCACTCACTCACTCAGTCAGTCAGTCAGTCAATCATTCATTCATTTATTCATTCATGCAGTTTTGTTAGCTTACATTTTCAAGTTGCAAAGTTGCACGCGCTGCGCGTCGTCGTTTCGGTCACAAGGCGGTGAATGTTGTCTACGAAAAAGGAAAATTAACGTTGAACTTTCTTTTTTGCTGCAGCAGCAGCAACAACAACAACAACAACAACAACAATAATATAAATAAAATATGTACTCGGCTTGTTGTTGCTGCGGCTTTTTTATACATATATATATATATGTATATATAAGTATATTCACATTTGGCTTTTATGGTCGCACAGTTAAAACTCGTTGAACTGTTATGAATTTTACTTTTGGTTTTCAAAAGCAAAACCAAATAAACCTGTTGCTGCAACAATAGAACAAGAAGCCAGCTCGAAAACCCGCCGATTCGCTGCACTCAACAACATGTCGCACTGGAGCCGCGGCCCAATGCAGTGAAAGTCTCGTTTCTCATCTTTTCTGCACAATCAAATGTGAACAGAAATGATAAAAAGGGGAAAAATACCAAAAGTTAATTAAATGTCAAATAATTCAGCATTCAACAGCGTCCGATGGCCCCGCCACAGATTTGCATCCCTACTGCAGCTGCGCTCACGCAATGCGTGCCGATTGCCCGGCCCCTGCCCGGCCCCTGCCCGCCGCCAAAGCCCCTCCCCATGCCCCTAACCCTGCCCCTGTCCCTGTCCAGGCAGTCGCTGCATATGAAATTCGCTTTCACTGATGCTGCTCCGCTGGCTGATCTGGAAAAGCGCTTTTCACACCATTTGGCGGGCTTTTGTTTGTCGGCGCCCAATTCATAGGCGCATTTTCATTGCATTTTCATTGCGTTTTCATGGCATTTTCACACATTCATAATACTTTAATTAAGCATATATATAATCAACACTTTCGCATCCTGGGCCCGGCCCGATGCCGCTTATCAACTCTCTTTTTCCTTGATGACTTTCATTTATGCAGCTCGCTCGCTTGCTCCTGCTACCAACTCACCCCTCATACCGCCACCCCTCGCCCCTCCCCTCTTTCAATTTGACTATTTGCGCACTTTTACTTGTCGCTTGCCATTGGCATTTGGTTATTGGCCGCCGGCTACTGGTCAACATGTTTGCCCAGCGGTCTTTCGGCACACTTTGGCTGCGAGTCAATAACTCGGCGGCCAGCAACCGCCAGCTGTTTATTTTGGCCACTCTTGGTATTTGACAATGCATAAAATATGCACATAAATTAATGCAGCATGGCGTCGAGGGGGGTAGGGGGGGGGGGGGTCAAGAAAAAAGGGCGGACAACGGTTAGCTGCATGCCACAGAGAAGTGTCGCAACTTTCCCTTTTGAATGGCTGGCGATCGAGGTTATGATTATTCGTATAGCATATGGCTTATTCTTTATGGCCGATTGTTTATTGGCCTGGCCCACATCTTCAGCTCGTTAGCTGTCTTTTATGTAACACAAATTCTAATGGGCACACACGAACATGACGCGCACAGACGTGCCGTGGCAAGTGATCCATTGAATGGGGCACAGTGAACGGGGAAGAGTGAACCTGTGACCGGTCAACGGTGAACATTAACCGCTAGCAGCACCTGCCTGCTGTTGCACCTGCCGTGGTGCTGTCACGCGGCTCTGATTGATATTTTAGAAGGCGCATTGCGAAACGCGAAAGGGAAATGCCTCTTACCCTGAGGGGGTGGGGGGGGATTTCAATTTCAATTTAAAAACAATTAAGATTACGATTTTCGGGCTTCTTTTTGATATTTTTTGGGTAAAAGTCAGCAGCAAACGGCCCCAATGCTGTTTCCCACAGTGCAACAGACTCTCCAGACTCTAGATGCCGCCCCAGGCCGCAGTCGCAGCCGCAGCTGATTTTGACAATGTTACATGAACTTCAAGCGAAAGCAGCGCAGTTCGAGCAGGCTTACAAATTACAGTAACAATGCTTTTCCAACCAGCCAACATCGAGCCGACGTCGACGACGACGACGTTACCGTTGGCTGGCAAAACGAAAGACTTAAGCGAGAAACTTGCGCGACCAGTTCTTGGCCGAGCTGAAATGCTTTCGTTCGTCGGCCGCGGCAGAGAGAGAGACAGAGATGTGAGCACACGCCGCCTATATAAATTGTGCTGGCCATTGGGAAATTGTATCATTTCATCCTCACCCGTCAAAGCAGCAACACAGCAGCCAGCAGCGTTGTGTGGCAGAGTGCAAGACTCAAAGTTGAAAAGAGAAAGTGCGTTTTGTCGATTTGTGTGCGGTACAAAAGCCGAAAGTGTGCACAGCCCTCAAAAGGACTATACAACAAGAACAACAACAACAAAACAAAGAAGTGAAAAACAAAAACATAAGAAAACAATCAATAACAATAAGAAATATGGCAAGCAATAAAGTTATTTTCGGTGTCTTGTGTTTGGTGACGCTGTCCGCTGCGCTCCCGGCTGAGGAAACGCGCGGCCATGCCCGCAACGCCATCGGCGGCGACAATGACATTATGGATAGCATCTATAGCGATTGCCTGCGCAAGGATTCCGTCTCGTGCGTCAAATACAAGCTGTTCAACTTTGTCGACAAGGTGCTCGGCGCCCGCGATCAGTATGCTCTCACCGAGGGCGTCACTGTTGTCCGCTCGCCGGATGCACCCGTTCAGGAGGCAGCCCGCTCCATTTCTGGTGATGAGTCGTTCGAGTCGCTGGCACTGAATCGCATCAGCAGCTTCCTCAACTCGCACAACATCAAGGTCGAACTGAAGGGTGCCGATATTGTGCAGGCGGTGAGCTCCACTGGACGCGCCTTGGAGGATGCCTCGGAGTCGCTGTTCGGCAGCAATGATCCCAATGCGCCCGAGGAGAGCCGTGGCAAGAAGAAGAAGGCCGCCAAAATCTTGGGCCCCATTCTGGCTTTGGTCGCACTAAAGGCCGCCGCTCTGCTGCCCCTGCTGCTGGGCGCCATCGCTCTGATTGCCGGCAAGGCTCTGCTCATTGGTAAGATCGCCCTGGTGCTGTCGGCCGTGATTGGCCTGAAGAAGCTGCTGTCACAGGAGAAGCATGTCACCTACGAAGTGGTCGCCCATCCCCATCACAGCAGCAGCCACTCGGTCAGCCATGGCGACTCATATGGCAGCGGCTACAGCGCCGATGCGGGCGCCTCCTCGGCCTCGTACGGCAGCAGCGGACACGGCGGCTGGGGACGCTCCATCGATGCCCAGGATCTGGCCTATGGTGCCCAGAAGCCCCAGGCCTAAGTGAAGCCACAGTCAGCAACCACAAGAACCACATGAACCACATGAACCACACGAACCACAACCACAATCAGTGACTCGAGCCGCAACGCTCGCACACGACAGACTCTTGATGAGGAACACATATTATTTATTGTTCGTTTTAATTAATTTATTAATATAATTTATTTTATTTATTTTTCCACACGAAAAAGCGCAAAGCAACGCACACAAAAAACGGAAACTAAAAAAAAACAACAACAAACAAAAAACAGATCATTTAAAAAATTGTTAAAGGACATTGTAGCGAAAAGAGAAGAAGCTGAAGAAGAGCCCAGAGCTACGTTCAGGCTGGCTGAGTGTGCGTGCATTTAGCTGCTTGACATACATACATACCATACACAGATACACATTTGTATCTTATAAAGCCTAAAGTTAAGTTTGTAAAAAAAAGCACAAAGCGAGAGTTAAAGTCGGTACCTTATGCAAAACGTTTCAAAATACTCATAAGCCCAGGCGGCGACTCTGTGTAGCGTTCAGCCTTAGGTCTAAGCTCGCACCAGGAACTCACTCACACACACACGCACAAGCACTTGCACACACATCTATCTAACTATCTCACTCTCTCTCACTTTCTCTCTATCTGCATCTGTCACTTGCTGTCGCACAGTCTCTGAGTCATAGCTCGTTCACATTATCTCCCTGTCCATCGCTATCGCTATTTACACTATCCATCTAGAGACTATACCAAAACTTTGCTGGTTGCCATGCAACTGTCTTACCTACTGTACACACTACTCTACATCAATACTCTACTCTTTATACTCTACTCTACTGTACTCTACTCAACTATTCTGTACTCTTTACATGCAATTCTAGTCTTACATTACAACAGAAAAAGAAAATTACAGCAACTAGCTTTAACTCAACAAACTAGCTCTTATCAATACTATCAGTATCTTTATCTAGTTTCTATCACATCTATGCTATCTATCTCTTTCGAGTCATAGTTTTGGTCATTATATACGCCATAACTTGCCATAGTTTTTCCTGCGCACAAAACTGAACTCATTCTTGAAAACTTTTCCAATTTCCACTCGAAATTCTTATGACTTTCTCATTTCTTTTGCACCTTCAGCTGCATTTCTCTCCCTCTCTCGCTCTTTTTATATCTCTTTCTCTCGCTCTTTCTTACTATCTCTGTCTTACTCTACATCTCTTTCTATCTGTCACGCTCTCATCATAATTTCTCTGCTGCCCTCTGCCTTGGTCAGCTTCTGTCAATTTCTAACGCTCTAATTTCCCAGCACACGCACGTACGTTCTCTGTAACCATAGTTCACTGTAGGCATTATATTATTTCGTTTTTGTTTTGTTACACAACTTCCATATTGTACTCTATGTTTATCGGGCGACTTGGGCCCGGTTTGCCCAGCTGCCAGTGTCCGCTTTTTGCATTGTGCTTTAAACTTATTTTTAATCGGTTTATTTAAAAATATTTGTTTAAATCATTTTGAAAGCGCGCTGGCCGCAAACGCCAAGTCGCCAGCTGATTGTCAACTTTTAATTTAAATGCATAAAAAATACACACATATAAATATATATTTGTAAGCAGAATCGTGCGGCACTTTCACATTAAGAACCACGGCGAGAGGCATAGAAACTGCAGAATTGGGCAATTCACAGTAGGAAGAAGCAGAAGAAACATAAATCACATATCACAAACATCACACACAAAGAATGTAAAAATCTCTTAAAAAACAGCATCTTTTCTCTGTCATAAATGCATGTCATTAATATATGAAGAAAAACAATAAGTACAAAAAAAATACACAAAAAAAAGAAAGAAATAGTAAACAACATGAAAATAAAACAAGCAAGGAATAAATAAAAAATCAATGAAAAGTCCAACTATTAGTTTACATACACACACACACAGGTATTCTTTATGGCCAGGCGGTGAAAGCGAAACGTTCGAGTAAAAAACTGAATAAAATTTTGCCTGATGCCCGCGAGTTATGGTTATGCATAATGCCCCGACAGAGGAGATCAGCTCTTGGCGGCCCGTTGACAGGCCCATCTTTGGCAAGAATGTCGAAAGAGAGGAGTGTGCTTTCATTTCAAGTGAAATTGATTTGCGACCCAGTTGGCTAAGCGAATTTTAAACACTCTGCCGTTAAGTGGTGTAAATAATTATGACTCTGGCCAAGTCAAGACAACGCATGCCACGACAAGACATGGCCAAACAACAGCAACAAAAATGTGGCCGAAAGTGTGCCCCGCCGGCTACCGTTGCGGCCAAAACTGATGCCAACAGACAGTGAAAGTAAACAGTTTGGAAACAACAACAACGACATCAACAAAAACAACGACAACGGCAAACAGTAAATGCATTGAAAACGTGTAGTGAAAAGCTGTAGAAATGCCAGCTTATGGCCATGGTCAAAACGTTTTTGGGTAAACGTATGATCGGCATAAAGGCAAGAGAGGGGCGCCCCCTGTGCGGCAACGAGGCAGAGTTGACTACTTTTAACAACTCTTAGACAAACAGCGCCCGTTGCTGAGGAACACTCAGATAAACAAAAAACTGGTTAGTCTGTTCGACTAGGATATACCCTAAACACACTGCCAGTTTGCCGTCACAAGCATTTGAGCATGTCATACCGCAGTTGTGCTGCTTCTCCCTTCTCCAGGGCTTTAGCTTTAAAATTAAGATTCTTTCAATTTCCTGGGCACTAAAAGAAGCTATTCAAAAAGTAAAATATTTTAAATCTACATATGCTATGCGAAAAGCTTTATACAAAAATTTATATATAGTCTTATAGTCTTCGGGTTGTCCTTAATCAAAATTGGAGAAGATATCGAAAAAACTGATAAGCTTGTTCCCATTCCCAATTTCAAGGACTCAGCTTGTCGTCATTATCAAGATTATATATTTATATACTCATATATATATGCATATACCTTATGGAGTTGGAGATGGTTCCTTCTGCCGGTCACATGCATTGCCACCAAACGATTATACCCCTTCTATCCATTTTCAATGGGTTCAGCGCATAGAAAAACAAATTCAGCGCAAAAAGTCTATTAAAAGTGGGAAACTATGTGACACCAAATACCCAGGCAAAAACGACGGCAGCAATGCCCACAACAAGAGTCAGAAAAGAATAAAAAACATGAGTAAATTGTGTCACGTGGGCATCGTCATTAGAATGTGCGAGCGCAGCTGACGAAATGCCAGTTTTAGGCCTGAAAGGGCGCTCAACCAACATTTGTGTGGGAAATTCATAGGAACTTAAAAGTTAACGTGAAGTTCACCTTTAAGCGTTTTACTTGCTTCTTCATTTAAGCTTGGCCAATGGCTGCCTTTGATACCCTTTAGCCAGAACAAGCTTTAAGTAGGGTATTTGAGTTCGCTGTAATTTGTGTTACAGGCAAAAGAGAATATTAACTTCCCCTTCGCTGCGTTAAAATTAGGGCTTAGGGAATTAGTGGAAGAATATGTTTCCTTTTCCCACTATACTGCAAGCTCAAAGCTATAATTTTACATGTGCCCTTCTATGCAATTCTCACAAATACAACTAAGTGTTAAGAGCTTAAATGCACTTATTTAAGGTTGTTATAATTACCATTTGCGCCGGAATTTCAATGTGTTGTGAATATATTAACTTTCGGGTAAATATTTATTTATTTAGGCATACATATTATGAGTATATATATTTGGTTGTGTGTTTGGAAAGGTCAGCTTTCCGTATAACAATTTGAGTTATTTATCAAAAAAGGATATCTTGAGACAGTCAAACGTTCAATTATATAAATGAAATCCTGCTATCTAAATAGCTATGTCTGCACTTTGTCCCATGTTAATGTTCAGGGTGTCTTTAAGTCACCCTTGCGCTCTTTTGCTCGCTCTTTCGTTTCTCACTTCCCTTTCATTAATTTTCCCTTTTTTACTATCTTGTCCATCGCATTCAGCCTAGCTTGTCCTGGCTTAGTTTTCCTTTTGACCTTGAACTTGTCTTGCCTTTGAATATTCACGCTTTTCCACCCAACTCATACATATTCTTCACTTCAATTTTATTCCTTTTACCGTCCTGTTTACTTGTTGAGCCTTTGAGTCCTTGAATTGTTGTGTATTAAGCCAACGGCTATGGTTACTTTCATATATTGGATCAGCATGGGGTGTTAAATAGCAATTTCCACACTCTTCGGTCAGTCGGCTATTTGATATATTTGGAATTGAATTTTGTTGTCTTATGCAAATCGAAGCGCCCCAAAAAAATGAAAGCCTACTGATGTGATTTGGAGCGAATTACCGTTGCGGCCCGAGTGAGTGCCGCTAGAGAAATGTGGATTGGCTGCAGCTGTGGCTGTGCGGCTGAAAGAAAAACTGGTGCAGGCATTTTGATACCAAACATCGGTCGGCTACCAATTTCACATTCTGAAAACCAGATAAAAAGCCACAAAATTCGCAATAATTCATAAGCCGGCAGCGAATTGCGCACACACGCTCCAATGAGAGAGATAATTCAGGTCTGCAGTTTGGGAAGCCTCGTGCAATGTCTGCCCAATTTGGAGCCAATTTCACTGTCAACGGACCTCGAGCCGAAGTGGATGCCTGCAAGGGCGTCGGCAAATGTTGCATGCGCAGAATGCTGAACGAAATGAAAACGAGTTTGGCTCTGAAGCTCGGAAAGCGGGTCACCAGAACACGGCCAGCAACAACAACAACGACAACGACAACAATAACAACAAACTGCAACGCTTGCATAGGCCAAAAGACAACCTGATCGGCCGGCCTTGCTCGGCGCTTTCCATTATACAAAAATCACCTGTTAGCATTATGAAAATATTAAGCATTTTCTTCTTGTCGTCGAAATTTCCACTCCAACAAGTTTTCCCACACTCGAAAAACACGCAGCACATTATGATTACAGTCATTTTTTGTATTATTATTGTTGCCTTTGTTGCTTTTGCTGTTGTTGCCATTGTTGTGAGCGCCTGTGCATGGAAGCGTTAAGTTTTGTTAAGCGCCTCCGTGAGCAGTTACGATTATTGGTTATGATTAATTGAAAGTTAATTGGGCACGCGAGTCGCATGCACAAAACGCTGAAACACTGAAACAGTTTAATAACACAGCCCAGACGATTTAACGGCTGATTTATGGCTCTAACTACGCGAGCCCATTTAATTTATTGCTTACTTAAAGCCGTACAGCTCACTTCTTAGTTAGTTAATAACAATTGCGCATAATTGATGAGCCGTAATTCCCACAAACGGATTCGCTTGTCCAGCGGTTGTGCCGCTTCAATAGACATTTATACGCTCGCGTTTCTCAGCCGCTTCATTTCCTTCCAACAAACGGACATAATTAAATGTGCTGCTTAAAGCTCACTAAACTTTATGAAAACTTTACCGATTAACGTGGTGAGAGATTAACATGGTTCGACTGAAAGTTTGACTTTTGCATCAATATAAATTCATGGCATTTTGTTTTGTTAAAGCTCAAGCCTTGCCAAATGCCACTCTTCACCTTAAAAGTCCAATAACATAGCCAAAAGTAAACCGATTTGCATATGTGTTGTAATTTTGGCCATATTTTGTCCTTAAGCTTGTTATATACGATATTTTCATCCACACTATATATACATCATTATCTATATCTTAACAATGTTTATGAATTTTAGGGAAACCTTTTTTTAATTACGCTTTTATACCTTTAATGAGGGAGATAGGAGTTGATGTTTTCACGATAGATGCCACCCACGTCAGTCATGGTTTCATTAAAAAAATGATTCCGCATATTAATGCGAATCAGATTAGGCAACAAGCATGCAATATAATATAAATGCGTCGATTGGAAATATAATTAAGAATTTTAAAGTTTTAAAGAAGATCAATAGCCTAGATTGAAAATAAATTAATATCGAAGTTATTTGCGTAAATATATACTCATATATTTTACAACACATTTGAAAATTGTTTAAAATATAAACACAGATATACAAACATCAACTTACAAAGAGAAAAGCTCTCACTTGCACTTTTTCGTTGAGCTAAAGCAAGTTTGTGTCTTAACTCTTTCGTTTAGCAATTGCACTTTTCAGGCGCATGCCATTTTCAGCCCGCCCCAAAGTAGGCAACACTTTTTTTACAAAGTTGAATATTGACAAATTAAAGTATGCCTTTTATGTATTATATTTTTAACTGAATTTCAAACTTAACATTTATCATGTTTAATCAAAATTTTAAAAGATTCGTTTTTTTGCAAAAGCTATTAAAGCAATTTCTTAGTTTTGTAAGCTGTGCCTTTGCCAAGAGTTATAAGAATTATTGATATTTCTTTGAATAAATGGTTAATATTCAATTCTATCCAAAGCACATGGAGCTTGTTTGCGAGTGTCTGCTGTACTGCAAAGCCGAATTCTGCTGCCACACATGTGTTTATAAAAAGAAAAGTTAAGATTTGTGGGGCGACAGTGAATCTGTGATAAAAACTAATAAATAAATGTTTATATAAAAAAACTGCACAGTTTCGGTCTAGTAAGCAATGCCAAGAGAGAACTTGCGAAAATAGTGCGGGATGAGCAGCTGCGCCCAATGCCAATGCCAGTGGAGTGTGGCTGGCTGAAGACTTGTGGCATGCGGCTTGCGGCATGTGGCATGTGGCAGTCACGCACGCCCCAGCTCGCTCCGTTTTACATGCGCACAAAAACTCAATAGCTTAGAACGAACTGCAAGTTGTGTTATAATTACAAATGAAAATTGCAGCACTTGCACAAACAGTGCAGATGTTGTTGCTGCAGCTATTCGGTTGCTTTCGCGGCGAAATCACGAAAGCGCAGCTTCAATGGCCAACAGCCTCTGGCCACAGCCACAGCCAGCCCGACTAATTGGCGTGATATTTAGACTAAAACAAAATCTGTTTGCTTGTTTTAAACTATTTTTTCTTTTTTTCTTTTTCAATTTCAGCTGCCTCTTGACATGCACCCAAGCGCAATTGGCCGTCAAGCAAACGGGCAGGCGGTATAAAATGCATACAATGCGCTTTCCAGCATTCAGTTGTTCATCTTAAGTGCAGCGCCCAGCAGCTGTTTTTCCTGCCACTCAGCAGCCAGGATAGCCAACAAGGAACTTAACCTACACACAGCCCACGCACACACACAGCCCACAGACACACCCACAGCTAAACACAGACATGATCAAGTACGTGTGGCACGTGGCGGCGCTGTTAATCATCTTCTGCTGGCTGCCGGCGAGCAGGGCGCGCACCGCCAGCTATCATCACATCAATGGCCTCGGCGTGGAGCAGCAGCAGCAGCAGCCACAGCAGCAGCAGCAGCCGCAGCAGCAGTCGCCGCCGGCGCAGTCAGGCAGCTCGACGGGCCTGTGGAAGGATCTTTCGCTGGTCTATCGCATCTATCAACAGTGTACGGGCGAGAATCTGTCCGTGTGCCTTAAGGTCAAGCTGCTGACCGGTCTGGAGAAGGCATTCCGCACGGCCAAAACGTTGCCGCTCTTCGAGGGCATTCAGTTTGTGGGCAGCACGGATGCGGCCCAGAAACGGGCACAGCTGCCGCCCATCACTGAGCAGGACATTGAGGCGGTGCTGCCGCGTGGCCTTGATGCCAAAGAGCAGATCCTGAACAGCATGATCATGAAGCGCTTGAGCAACTTCCTGCAGGATCACACGTTACAGGTGAGCGTGACTCAATAGGTAACTGGCCCAAAGGGAAATGCTATTAATTGGAAAACTGTTCCCTAAACAGATAAAATTTCCCGACATGCACGCTGCGGACAGCAACTCCGTGGAGGGTCGCAAGAAGAAGGATAAGAAGGGCAACGGCGCCTACATAATGATACCCCTGCTGCTGGGCGGCACCTTTGTGCCCATCGCATACGGCGCACTGGCCATGCTGGCGGGCAAGGCGTTGATTGTGTCCAAGCTTGCGCTGGTGCTGGCCTCCATAATTGGCATCAAGAAGCTGCTCAGCGGCGGCGGCGGCGGCAAGGAGTCCTCGCACGAGGTGGTCGTCTCCTCCGGCGGCCACTCCGGCTGGGGACGGGACTTTGACATGGCGTACAGCGGCTGGAAGCCGGCCAAGGAGTCAGCGGGCAGCGCCAAGAGCCTGTAAAGCAGTCGCCAGCATTTGCATTTGAGGGAGCACGAGAGACAGAGCGAGAGGGAGAGAGAGAGAGAGGGAGAGGGATGGAGCAAACCAAAGAAACGATTGCCGCATGAATTGTCTGAATAATCAATAATGTTTAGCTTAATTCGATTATCTATATATTTATATATCTATTTATATTTAACGAACTAAATGTGTGTGTTAGGCCTAAGTAAGCGTTAATTAAATGTAGTACACAATTTTTGCTTAAATCACGCCCCTCTTCAAACTCTGACAGCTGCCACGCCCCGACAACGACGTCTGCTGAATTTATGATAGCAATTTTAAAAAATTTCAAAAAGTGCTTACGTGCGTGCTAAAAAAAACAAAAGCACAAAAAATACGTCTTCGCTTTCTACTGAAAAATAAAACGACGAGCACATTTTTGTATATAGCCCTGCGCAGAGTCTGGCCAAGTCGAATGCAATATTCATAGATCAAATATGCTCGAGTGTCGCTCACTTGTTTCAATTGTTGTCTTTTTCAGTGGTATGCGACATTTTCACTTTTGCCCACTGCACAAAATATTAATGAGCAGCAAATGCCAGGTAGAACATTGAACCTGACTGGGCTGACTTTATTTAAATGTATTTCCCACGCCTAATCGGCGGGTTAGTTACGCGGGCGGCCCTTTACTTTAATTGTTGACGTCATCGTTTGAAGCCCGGCAACACTTTCATTAATTGAAAATTACTCAAGCACAACGCAACGAGAGCTACCCGGAATTCGCCGGCGACAGTCAGATGCGGGCCGAGGGCGTGGGCGGGCGTCCACGCTCGGAATGAAAGTGAAACTTTCAAAAAGGTGTCAATTTTGTAGATGCCACTGAATTAGGGTTGGGCTCGAGCTGAGCTGAGCTGAGGACCCAAGCGCCCAATGAAAGCGTCTCAGGGAGCTGTCGTTTTCAACTTGGACGCTGTGAGAAGATAATGTAAGTGTGGCCGACTAGCAGATACCCTGCAGCCAGCTACCTTTGCAAACTTTCCAGGTTCCTTTTACATAAATGTATTAAACATATTCAAAAAAGCATACTTTTTGTGCTCTTTCGCTTGTCTTTGTCTATGGAAAATATATTTCTGCATATAGATAGAAAATGACAGTACAAAAATATATTTATTCAATTATCAGACTCAAGATTTTGTAGTTTCCGAGTGGCAGACGGACGATGCTGAGCAAGAATATATATATTTAATGGCGGTACGGAGATGTTACATACATTTTTACGCAAGCAATATACCCGCCTTAAGCCACTTACAGGGTATACAAGTAAATAGAATTATAAACTCTGGACTAATGAAGGCACAGGGGCAGGGCAGGAACCAAACGCACAGGAAGCTGCGCAGCTTATTTCCTCTTCAAGTCAATTTGTGTGTAAACATTGACAAATATCTCAAGCATTTTAACAAGTTGGCCAAAGACATTTGGTAAGCCGCACTTAAGACAAAAGCACTCTTAAATGGCTTTTCTCTGAAACTTTAGAGCAAATGGCCCATTACATAAGCCCAAATCTGTGTTCAATGCTCGTGAGCAACTATTAAAAGTAATAAAAACTGTTTCACTTTCTTTGCGTTGGCATGCAGCCAAAATAATTGCCCAAAATAATTTCCCATTGCAAGTCGACTGACACATGCCCTACACTCGAGTGAAGGCAACACCTTCTCAGCTGACACCCACACGAAAGCCGTTGAGCATTCAAGTCACGTCACACCGGCACATCTATATGTATATATAGTATATATATATACGTGCTAGGCATTTGCATATCCCATCAGCATCTGGCACGACGGCAACAGCTACAACTACGGCGTAAACACCTTTCGGCTCATCAACTATATCGTGTTTAGGCTAAGCAGATAATCAGCTACGAACAATTTTTTGGCTTGCTTTGCATCTTGAATCGAGCTTAAGCAGCGTGCAAATCTCAACATTCATCGCTTTCTTTCAGGTACTTGACTAATGCGTAAATTACACATAAATACAGAAGAAAATAAACGAGTGAGAAAGCGCTTGTATATAGACTGATCGGTGGGCGTATACCCTGTAGTTGCACTTTTCCATATTTACCTATTTTAATGCTCTTCAAGCGAACTTGACTTCCATTAATGTGAACTAGTTAAAGGAACATTTTTCACTTGACTCTCAGACTTTTATGTTATCTTTAGGGTCTATATATAATCTAAGTGATCACAAATTAATTTGGCAAGTATTATGTATTGCAAATTGTAGTCCGATATATTGGTTTCGTATGCCGAATTTAATAAAATAATTTCTGCTAAAAAAGCAGCACGAAATATTTATCATTGAGCGCTTAAATCGAGTGCGGCATACCCTGTACTTCTATTATTTTTATTTATTTTCAAAACAATTATAATATTAAATTAAATGTACAAAAATATTTTAATGATTTTTTGGTACACACTCTTAACATGGTCATACCTTCTTCTTTCTAAATTGTATACAACTTTAAGATCATAATCCAGAAATCTCAAATAAAGCTAAATTTGTTTAATGTTATCGCAAATAATTATTAGTTTTGTTCATTTCATTTTCTATAAGTTGGAAGAAATGTCTCGCTAGGATTGGCATATAAAAACCTATATGCCTAATTTAATGTTAATAACATCATAGCTTTATAGTATTATTAAGGATCATTTGTTTAATGCAGAAAATTGGCATATTTTGATGCGCTCTATGTCATTTAATATGTTTAAAATATCGGACTTGTAAGCTTCTGTCCGTTTAAAGCATTTGCATAACTCTTTAATACACTGGGTATGTGTGAAGACGTGCCAAAATGTGCAAAATGAGTATTAAAATTGAAGAGTATAAAATTAAAGCGACATAATGCGAAAGATATTTGTTTGATATGGAAACTGTAGTCTTGAGACGCTGTGCAAATGTCGGCGATTGGCATACAAAACTGCAGATATATATAGATACATATGTGTGTTTGTGTGTGTGTGTGTCTGGTCAGAGATACATGATGAGGCCATAAGTGAGATGGAGAAAAACAAATACATAAATAAAAAGCAAAATTAAAGTGAAATTTTGTTGTTATCCATGCCGCCTGCAAACTAGTTAATTTTCTATTTTACTCCAATTTGAGTGAAGCTCGTGTTGCTTGTGGCTGCTTTCAACGCAACGATCATAAGTAGGCGCCGCCGCCGTGCTGCTGTGGTGTTTGATTAGCCAGCCAGGTAGCCGGCCAGCTTTAAATGCCACACAAAGTCACGTGTCTGCAATTTCTAATGGTTCGATCAGTCGAGCGGCACAGCCAACCGCACTTTCTGCCTTGTTACTCTTGCTGTTGCGGTTGAGGTTGCGTTGGTTCTCAGCCCACCCGAAAGTGTGCCGAATGCAGGCAGGCAGGCGCCTTCAAATGGCTCAATATACATTTTGAGCTGTCAAATTATTGCCCGCTAAACGGACTGAATAAATGTACGTATGTGTGTGCGCGCGTGTGTGTGTGCAAATAGTTAAGTGCTGCTTAAGTGTTTACCTGTTGACAAGCAACAATAACAACAACAGCAGCAGCAGCAGCCGCTAACAAGCCAAAGCGAATGCCGCAGCGCTGCCAGCTGCGACGTCGACCGCGACAGCTGCGTCAGCGTCACACACACACACGCACACACACACTGAACTGTGGGCCAGGCCAAGTTAATGCCAGGTTGCATCAAGAGCCGCAACCGATGCGCTTCGTTGTGGTCGTCGGCGTCGACGCTGGCTTCGTCTTCGCCAGGTTGTTTATTTAAATTCTAAGCTCGGCTACTGTTTGAGTCGATGGAGCAGGTCGGCTGAGTGTGTGCGTGTGTGTGAGTGTGTGTGTGTGTCTGTGTGTGTGTTGGGGATGCGGCCAGCGGGCCATTCGCGTCGTGTGTTGTCGCCGTCGTTGTCGTTGTCGTCGTCGGCGACTGCGCTGCTGGTCGGGAATAAAACTCGATCCGCGTGCGTCTTCTAGCCACAGTTTACGGATTGCCTTCTGACCGACAGATCGAACCAGCCAATCGAGCGCAGTGCACTCAATCAAACTCTACACAGCCACGAGCAGCTCAAGCTACCCTACAAGGCACGCCCAGTCGGTGGCCCAAAGGATACAGCAATAATTAAAGCCTAGTGTCAAGTGTTGTCGTGTCGGTGACCCGCCCCCAAACCACTCGAGAAATCAAGAAAAATAAATTTAAAATAAAGAAATATGTTGAAATTCGTGTGCCTGTTCGCGCTGCTCGCCTCCACGGCGGCGGCAGCCTCCGAGGCTGACAGCTTGCTGACGAGCGCCCTCAAGATGGTCAAGGATTGCGGCGAGCGTTCCATGTTGTTGTGCATGAAGGTAAACCAAATAGAAAAATAGAGTACGCAGCGCGATTGGCTAACACAAATCCCATTTCGTATAGGAACGCGCCCTGCACTACTTCGACACGGAGAATGGCGATGTGCGTCTAACCGAGGGCATTTCCCTGGTCAAAACCGATGAGATTCCGGTGGGTCGCGCCTTGAACGATGTGACGCTGCCGGAGGAGGCGGAGGCACGCGAAAGTGAGGTCGATTCCCTGCTGGTGGAGCGTGTGGCACGCTTCTTTGGCACACATACGCTGCAGTTCAAGGTGCCCAAGGACTCCATACAGGACATGCAGCGCGCCCTCGAGGAATGTGAGTAACAGTTGAGTTGGCATCGATAAAAACAGAGGCCATGCAGCAGAACTGGCTGCGGTTCTGCTTACTGGTTCTCTGCAATGCTGCCAAATTGGGTTAGTGGTGCAATTATCGCTGTGGCAGTGGCAGCGTCTGGCAACAACAATGTGGGCAAAGGCTTGAAATCCTGTTTTCACTGTTAGCTGCATTGCCGCTGCTGCATTGGGGTCAGGATGAGCCGGCTTTTGCTCTGGCCTCTGGTCTCCGATCTCCGGTCTCTGGTCTCTGGTCTAGCGGTGCATTGACAGCTTGTCGCATGCCACTTGCTCGCAAACTTGTTGCCGCTGTTGGCAATTAATTGCATTTTAGTCAGTTCAGCGCAGTTCGGCGCACTTTCTTTTTGTGTGATTTCCGATTTCTAAGCGGCGGCCATAGAAAGCGGTCAATCCTGTTCAACGTTTATCGTTTATTGTCTGCTCTCGACTGTCTGCTGTCTTTATTATTAATTATGTGCACTGCTCCAATTGCTAATGAGCCGTCGACAAAGTAGCGAAAGTATTGCATGTTTGGCACACACTAATCAAACCAAATATCTCCCCCCACGACTTTAGCACGCGGCAAGAAGAAGGAGAAAAAGAAGTACCTGATGCCGCTGCTGATGCTCTTCAAGCTGAAGATGGCCGCTCTGCTGCCGCTGGCCATTGGCTTCCTGGCGCTGATCTCGTTCAAGGCCCTGGTCATTGGCAAGATCGCACTGCTGCTCTCCGGCATCATTGGCCTGAAGAAGCTGCTCGAGTCCAAGAAGGAGAACTACGAGGTCGTTGCGCATCCCCACTACGAGCACGAGCACAGCTACGGCCGATCGCTGCAAGGCGATGAGGCACAGAACTTGGCCTACGCGGCGTATAAGCAATAAGTTGCCAAATACAACAAAACAACAACAAATTAGTGCAATACACAAAAGGAAAAAAGAGAGAGAGAGAGAGAGAGAAGGGATATGAAAGCACAGAGAGAGAAAGAGAGAGCGCACAGCTCGCCTAATTTATATTATTTATTTAATTTATTTGTAGCTTAACTGAAGCAAAAAACAGGCGCCATCAATGGGAGAAAAACAAAAGAAAATTAAGAGAAAATTGTCAATGAAATCCTAGTTAATAAGCTCAAGCAGAAGAAGCAGCGACTGCGGTCGTCTCCGGCAAAAGGGGGCGGCACTTGTGGGCGGACCCAAAACTGAAACTGAAACTGAAACTGAAACTAAACTCAACTTAACTATACTCTGTAAACTGACTGCGCCTTGTATTATGTGAGAGCTTTACTATTTATTTTTTTTGCTTACGCTAAACTATTTACAATTTCATATTTATTGTTGAATAAACCAAAACCAAATACTTTAGCACGCTGTACACTGCCCAGCAACAACAACCACGCCCCCCCACAAACCACCCTCACACACACGCACAGGCACACACATACACGCACAGAAATGAAACTCAATAAAGCCGCATTTATCTGTAACTGAAATTCGTTTTGCATTTGACAGGCGTATATAAATTCATACACACACACATATCTATATATATTTATTTATATTTATTGCGCATACGCAACGTGCGCCGCATACAGTATGTTGTTTTTGCTTTTTTCAAGCGAAATGCTTTCACTCTTTCACTAATAAAATGAATTACCAACTAAGGCAAACGAGGCCAGCGATATCAATTGCATGTGCGACACACAAATTCACAGACGCTGCACAACAAGAAGAAGCAGCAGCAGCAGCACCAGAATTTCACTTGCAAGACGAGCACTCAGGCGTGCACGAAGTCACAGTCAGAGTTGGAGTCGGCGCCCAGCTGGCTAACTGACTTCCTGGCCTGGCATATACATGCCACCTCTCTGACACACTCCCCCTATGTACCCCCCCCCCCCCCCCCCCTGCTGTGGAGCTGCCCACGCCAATGTCTTCATTGGTATCCGGTGTCGCTCCAAAATCAAATGAAAGTCGCCGCTTTTGGACACGACCTGTTTTTTGCATGTGCAATTGCAACACGTACGCCCTCCCCTACCTCTCCCGGTGCCCCTTCCCCAGTAGACTTGCCAATGTCAATGATATGAAGATGGGGCACGCCCCTGCACAGCGTACTGACAATTTATGGCCTTACGGCCGAATGCCAAATGGCCAGAAACGATTTCTTAACTGTTTGTCAACAATTTTCGCCTGCTGCAAATGTTGCTGCTGCATTGAATCTCTCAAATGTTGCTGGTGAAAGTGTTTATTAATACAATTTCTATCGTTTTGTGTGTGTCGCAGGCTGTGGGAAATTGGCAAAACTAATGCCACTTATTTGGCCAGCTAGCTGCAAGCCCAGACATTGCGCCCTCCTCTGACGTTTTTAATGCTTTATCTGGCGACTGAAAACTTTTGCCAGCTATTGCAGAAAATTAAGCCTTAAATTGAAGTCTACAAATTGGCCTACTTCAAAGGCGATTCAACTGAGCTAGTAGTGAGAGGGCGTGGCAGTTCGGATGTGGCTACCTAAAGTTCATGTGGTCCCGGGCCGTCGGAATTCATTAGCAAAATATGCAAAAGTTTTGCTACTCAGCGGTTTGAGCGGCTCAGACGGGTGTGTCTAACGACTTACTACTATTAATTTTCTTCTTGTTGCTGTTGTTGTTCTTGTTATTCAGAGTTTTGTTGCACTGCCTCAAACGACAGGCTGGCAGCACCAAACTTGTTGCGAAGTTTAAACAGATTCAGCCTGAAAGTATGCCACACTTTTTCGAGTGGAAATATTTTTGCTGCTCAAGCTAAATGATCAATTGTGCGGTCCGGTTTGTTGACCTCTAGGGTAAAAAGAGGAAAAAATACATCATTAGGCCAGGGTTGAACGTCTTGGGAATAAACGTACATTTATTTGGAAATTGGGTTGCAGCATCTTGAGTTGGTCTGGACAATTAGTCCAAGGAATGGGAATACGAATTGATTTATGTTTGCTTAGCAGCAAAAGTAAGTGTATTGACAGCTTGCCATCGCTTGCATATCATTTTTAGGTAAATTCGCTACAGTTCGTAGCTGCTTTTAGCTCAGTTCTTAGAAGAAGCGCACAAATTCTTAAACCAAGAAAATTTCATATTTGTACTTTAATTTTAAATTTAATCAAAAAATTAAAGCTCTAAAAAAAGAATCAAAATTGTTTAAAATTAAAAAATTATAGCAGCTTTAATTTAAAATTTAAGGATTACTATTTAATTATAATTCACGTACATTTTTAGTTTAATTTTAGATCCTTGATTGCTTTGACAACTACAACAAATATATATTAAATCTGATTCCGTTATATGAATATATTTATGGGTATTTATATGAAGATATTAACAGACTAAAAGTCGAATGGATATATATTGGATTAATTGTTGTTGCCAACCAAGAAAATATATAATTCTTCTACGGAATCAGATATGTTTTCTGCTTAAGAAAATTTGCTCTAGTTAAAATATGAATCAAACATATTTGGAACATAAAAGAATTATTTAATTCGGAATTTAAATATTCATTTTCATTTTTCCTTTCTTTCTGAATTGGACCTTTTGTCACATATTGTTTGTTGCCTTTACTTTGTCTTCTCGCTCTCAAGCTTATTTTAATTTTAACCTTTATACCATTATTTTGCATCAATTATTCCATTTGGCATATTATCATAGTATCCCTTGGGCCAGGTGGCTGGTAAATATTTTTGGTACCAGCCGCCTTTCGCCCTTAATTCCCTGTATTTGCCTAGGCCTGAAAAGGCGTTAATTATGTCTGCCATTTGACGACCTAACGACAATACCTGTTAATTAAATAAAGGTCACAGAAGCAACAAAAAGAAGACCCAATTCCTATCGCTACCAAAATATCTTAAATTTAATACGTTTGGCTGATTTGTTTGGCTTGTTTGTTGGGCGTCTAAATAGGCTTAAAAATACAAATTTTATTGTTTTGACTATTCAAATGGGCGCCCATTTCGGGTAATGCCATAATTGCAGTCGCTTATTTGATGGAGCCCCTCCCCCCACAGCCCCTTTATCGGATCTAAGCTGTGGCGCTTCTTTCATAATTTTTCCTGGAACAACAATGGCTCATTACATAATGGCCAAGATGTGCGAAAAGTCAAAAATTGGCCACAAGTCGGCACAGTGGGTTGCCGGGCAGCGCGTGTGCACTGACCATGACCATGATGCCAACTACAACAACATGTAAGGGAGCTCTAGCAGGATGGGACTGACTAGGAGATACTCTCAATTCAGCAAGAAGCTGATGTTACGAATATGCAAATATTCTAACGTCCTTCTAAATATGTATACACATTTCGCAGATTATTGAGATCTCCAGCAAACATTCGGAGATAAAACATTAAATGATCATTGAATATTTATCGATAATAAAGGAAAAAGAGAAAGAAATCGAAAAAAAAAGATAAGCTTAGAAAGACAGAAAGCTTAATCGAGGCAGCTTGTCATACTGTTCGAGATGCTTTCGCCTTCTTCATACGTTAGATTAAGTCTAGAATACCCTTCTTTTTGTACCTTAAGCGTGTACAGGGTATAACAATAACAACAAGAGCAGCAGCAAACGTCAGCTCGTCGTTGATGTACAACAATTTCCGTTATTGGGCCACGGCGGCGTTACATGTGCAAAATGTTGAACCAAAGCTGATCATATTTGGCTAAAAACTGAGCTGCCTATTGTATAACGAGCTGAAAGGGCTGCTAGTATAAAGCGAACGGGTCAACTGGGCAGCAGGCTCAGTAGCATCGCGTTCACCCACCCGTAGACTTGAGAGCATGGCACAAATGGAGGCACTGCTGCTGCTGTTGATCAGCCTGCTGCAGCTGGAGACGATTGCGGGCAGCGATCTAAGGCAGGACAGTCTGGAGGAGCTGCAGCATTTCAAGCAGTGTGTGCGGGGCTCAAAGCGTGCCCAGCTAAGCGAGTGCTTGGGGCGTTCCGCTTTGAATTTTATACAGCGCTTCGAAGAGCGGGAGAATGTTTCTTTTGCGGCTGACTTTGTGGCCGTAAAGCGGGAGACGGCGGCGAGTCGCTCGCTGGTGAATGTGCTCGACACAGATCCAGTCGATTTTCGTGGCATACTGGAGAACGCGGGCGCCGTGATGGGACAGCGCAGCCTGGAGTGGCACATGGACGCCATTTATCCCGGGCTGATGTTCAAAATTGGACCCACAGCCGATGCGAACAGCGTGGCGGAGTTTGTGCTCGACACTGGACACGATGAGCGACAGTTTGGCTTCGAGGATGCCAGCACGGGTGAGCGAGCGAGCAAATGGATGAGTATATGACCAGTTGTCTTGACACAGCTTCTATGCCTTATTAGGTCGCCTTCTGGCCAAGCAGTATCTGGTGCCCTTTTTGCTGGGCCTCAAGTTCAATTTGGTGGCGTTGGTGCCGCTGCTCTTTGCTGGCATTTGCCTGCTGCTCAAGAAGTCGCTGTTCCTGGCCAAACTGGCCATTTATGTGAGCAGCTTTTTGGGCCTAGGCGGCGTCCTGGGCACGCTGGGTGGCGGCTTGGGCGGCGGCTTCGGAGGCGGCCTCGGCGGCGGCCCCAACTTTGGCTATGCCGGCGGCTTTGGAGCTGCCCGGCCCATTGCCCATTTTCCAGGCAAGACAACAGTGTTCGGCCATGGCGACGAGCTACATCATCAATACAATGTGCACGAGCCGCAGCCGTACAAGCGCAGCGATCGCAAAGTGCGCTTCGAGCAGCCGCGGGAGACAGCAGCCGCAGCCGCAGCCAGTACCAAGCCAACCCCCGAGGATCGCTTTTATGAGTACGAGAAGCAACGCAGACCTGGTAATCCACTGGAGGACAGCATTGGCTCAGCGGATGCGCTGGTGCGCAATCTCCAGAGCAGCTCCAACAGCCACATGAACGGTTGGCAGGTGGTGGATGTCCGATCGCTGTGAGATGGGATCGAAATGTTCCATCTTAAATCTAGTTCCAATTAGTTAAGCTTAACTTATGCAAAATAAAACAATGGTACTTTGGTCGGGTGTGCTAGCTAGGCCCGGACGGGCAAATAAAATACAGACCATAAATAAATAAATAAATGTATATAAATATTATAATATAGCTGCCGTTAAAAACATTCCAGCTTTATCGATTTTCTGGATATAGGGGAAGTTATCGATATTTGAGGTTGCATGTATTTTCCATGCGCAGTTTAAGATTTGAATTCTCCAGATCTACGCTTTCATATATACGGACAGTCTAAAAGGGCGGATCTATTTATGTTGAGCAAGAATAAATGACCTTTCCGCAGCATGAAAAGCATAATACATAAAAGTTTTTGGCAAACATTTTTTTATGTTTATTTTTATTTTTAAGCGCTTTCCAAAAGCGAAAGTCGGTTAAGGCAAACGATTTTGCAGTTCAGTGAGCAGCTTGTCAAGAGTTCGAGCTCGAGCTCGAGTTCGAGTTGGGGTACGCGTTTTGCGTGAAAGACTTTTCCAAAACAAACTTTTCTTATTAGATTCCTATCAAGAGCGCCGCTGGCCGTGTCGCGCTTTGACAAGCCATTTAATTGTTGTATATTCTTTGTAAATAAATGACGTCACAAGCTCTGCAGCAGGCATATAAATAATAAGCCACAAGCTCTGAACCCGGTTATTTGTGGCTTAAACGACAAGCATGCGGCAACTCGTCTTATTCTGGCTGTGGCTTCTGCTCGGCACGGGCCAGGCACAGCAGCTGAACCAAACTACAGCAGAATCCTTGTGGACAACGCACAGCCTGACCACGCTGCTGCAGCAGTGTCTGAGCGGCGCAGAGGCGTGGCAATGCCTGGGCGCCCAGGCCGAACGCCTGCTGGATGCAGCTTGCCAGGACAACAGCAGCTGGCAGCTGAGCGAATACCTCAGCATAGAGCCACAGCAGCAGAGCCAGCCTCAGCAGGAACTGCAGACAGGCAGAGCAGAAGCACCAGGATTAGCTGGCAAGCTGCTTCAGTTGGCCGCAGGACGAGCGCTGCGTGTCCGGCTGCCGCGACAGCTGACCATATCGAATGCCATCGATGAGTTCGGCAACGAGCTGGGCTTGGATCAAGGTACGATTGCGCGCATAGATGATAAAATCGATAAGATATTTGCGGGCTTAGACAAAGATACAGATAAAAACAAAGATAAAGATAGGCGAAAAAAGAGAAAGAAAAAAAAGAGAATGAAAGGTAATGATAATACGCAAGAGTGCTGTGGTCGGTAGCGCCCGACTAGAAGATACCCTGAACCCAGCCTCGAGCTGTCGTTGCAAGCACTCTAGCTTTCTTCTATGCATACACACACAAAAATACACGCACACACACGCACGCCGCGGCCGGCGTTCTGCTTCTTGCTTAGCTCCATACAATGTATGGGAAATGTGTTCTTCATTAACTTCGGTGTCTATTGTCCGATCTATATTAAATTAGCTGGACTTGAATATGGCATAAAAATGTGTGTAAATACCGAAGCCCAAGGCTTTATCGCAAAATATGCATTTTAAAAAAGGAAAGAAGAAATATTCCCAATCTGTGTTTATTATGCGAGAACCTACCACGAACATACCACGTTTGGAGAGTCAAGCAGGACAAGATATCGAGAAGAAATAATAATCTCATTCTACATGTGCTTTACATGAATTTGTTATTCGAAATTCTAGGATATAGCTTTTGTAGTTTCCGGAACAATTCGTATAGTTAGACAAACAGTCGGACAGACTGTCATTCATAGCCAGACCGACTCAGCTTGTAGTCTTGATCAAAAATAAACATACTAAGTCGTTCTGTTACAAACATTTGCACAATACCAATATATCCTCTCCACCCATTTTCAATGAGTTCAGGGTATAACATAGAAAAAAAAAAAAATAAATATAAAAACTGTATCAACGAAACAGGTCGCAAGAAGAAGGACAAAGATAAGAACATGGCCATGATGGGCGGCATGATAATGCTCGCGACCTTCGCACAAATGTTCCTCGGCAAGGTCATACTCATCGCAGGCGGAGCCTTCATAATGGCCAAAATAGCGCTGGCTATATCGCTGCTGGTGAGTCAATGTAAACACACATATGAACCAAGTTTCCACACTCAGAGAAAAACTGCGGTTAAATTCTATTGTGAGCGGAATAGAATTGAAGCTTTCTCTTTTCAAATTTTCAAGAATATTTCGTTCTTGAATTTTTTTTTTTTTAAGACCTTCGCAGTTGAAGTAAAATATTTCTTAGATTAAGTACAGTATTTGAATATTGTATTTCGGCACTACAAAAATAGTTCTTAATCTAAGAAATGGGCCCTGGCCGGCTTGGTATTGATTTTTAGTAGGCAATTATTATCTCTGAGTGTGAAACAAGCAGCTCTGCCCGATCGAGTCATTGGCGCTACGCTCTCTTTTTCAGGGCAGTCTAAAAAAGGGCTCCAGTGGCCACAGTGGTAGTCCGGAGCACGTGATCGTCGCCAGCGGGGGGCACAGCCATGAGAGCGGCTGGCATCGGAGCATGCCGACGCATGATTACAGCGGCGTGCATCTGGAGACGATCAAAGAGGAGTCGCATCCCGGTCACGAGCAGGCCTACTATGCCTACGAGATGGAGCATCCCAGTCGCCGGCATTTGGCAGTCAATAAGGAGCCAGAGCCCAACAGACGGCCTGGTTTTCTCTAGGTTTATGTGTATTTCTGTGGTAAAAATAATCGTAAACTAAACTAAAACTAGGTTGAAAGTCAACAAGTGTAAATACAATTGCAGACAAAATTGAAGCTATGCGAAACAATTTTCGGTCTTTGGTTTTGCGTTAGATGCTACGCGAGATTTATCGGGACAGCTTGGCGGCGGCGCCGGCGCCAACTCCTCCCCCTGCTCCAGCTCCTGCGGCTGCAGCGACGCCAGGCTGGGGCAGCCAGCCGTGATACGCCTTGTCCTGCATCATCATCTCGTCATCGATGCTGCGATGATAGGAGCCGCCGTCATGGCCGCCGCTGTCGTACTCGCCCTGATGGCTCGACGAGTAGGTGTGGCTCTGCTGCACCTGCGGATGCTTGACAATCTCGTATGTGGTCTTCTCGCCGCCATCGTGGCCGACCAGCTTCTTTAGCCCAATGATGGCGCTGATGATCAGCGCTATTTTGCCCACAATCAGCGCCTTGCCAGCCACAATGGCTATCGAATGGTAGGCCATCTTTAGTATGGCCGTCTTCAGCAGCACGGCGGCTATGAAGGGTCCCAGATACTTCTTGTCGTCCTTCTTCTTGCGACCCTCGCTGTCGCTTTCACTGTCACTGCCATTCATAAAGTAGCCCAGCAGCGACTGCAGCCAGTCCTGGCTGTTGCGTTCGCCATATCTCAGCAGCCGGGGCAAATTCACCTGCAGCTGATGGCTGTGCAGAAAGCTAAGAAAGCGCTCCAGCAGCAGAGCATCCAGGCTCTTGCTGGACATGTGGTCCAGATCGCGATTGTTTAGCTGATGCTCGGCAATGCTGGCACGTCCTGTGCGCGTCTCCTCGCCACCGCCGGCACGCCTCACCAGATTAACGCCATCCACAATGCTGAGCTGCTGCACCTTGAGTGCCCGCCCCAGCAGCCGAGCGCCGTGCAGCTTGCAGCACCAAAAAATATCCTCGCTCTCGGCACATTGTGCCCACACGTGGCGCACTGTGCGCAGCAGCCCATTCTCACCACCGCCCGTGGCATTGTTGTGGGCCAGCTCCAGCGCCGAGGTGGGCCGCTCCGCATAGAGCACTGTGAGCAGCAGGGCGGCGAGTAGACCCAAGCGCGTATCCATTGTGTGTGCTGTTTGTTGTCGTATATCCTTTTTGGGGGCCCTCTTGTGACTGTCTGTGTGCTGTGGTTCTGGCCAACTCACTTGGCCAACTGATCTTGTGCGGCCGGCTGCTCCACAAATTTATACACTTCAAGTTGCCACAATTAGCCAGGCAGCCGTTGCATCCAGTTTTGCTTTTGTTGGCGCCTCGCCGCCAATTGTTGGCTATTCAGAGCGTAATATGCATGTTGGATGCTGTTCCTAAGCTAAGCTCCGGCAAAGCTTCGCTGCAGATTTAGTGCAATTGCCAGGCCAGGCCAGGCAGCCAGCCAATTTCATTGCTCATTGTCGTAATTAGCAAGTCTTTGTAATTATTTCGAACTGTTTTATTTTTTTGCTGCTGCGCTTAATGATATATTCGCTCTGACGCCCACTTTCATCGGCTGCAGTCTGTTAAAGACTTGGCCAAATATACACAGACACCTGCCTCTACATTTATGCTCAGCTTTTGGCTGCTCTTGTCTTTCGCTTGGACACGCAAAGATTTTGGCACAGATATTAGCTATGCTGTGCATAGAAAACGAAATGAACGCAATTTGTGTGTAAATTTTTGATTTTCCAGCCAGAATTGCTGGAAAATTGTCGCTGGCAATAAGAAAGTTAATGAAAGTGCAGCTATAGAACTCGCAACGAATTGGCATTATTATTACTTGTTGGTATTCATAATGCAATTATTCTATGATCAACTTTGGCGGAAGCACAGGAGAGAATTTCTAATTTACGCGGGTTTCCTTAGTAGTATTTCCCTTTGAACAAATGTATATACAAATTTTTGTCATAATAAAAGAAATTACTCGATGGAAACATTTGTTTTAATTATAGAAACAAAACCCAGCGTAATTTTGATTCATAAACTTCATGCTTAGTGTGTAGATACTTAGCCCAAGAATATATATCATACAGAATATGTGTCCCCCCTTTTCATACTCTTTCCATTTCTTTGCGTGCTTGTGTATATAAGCGGCAGGAAAGAGGCAAATCTGAACTCTTCAAGCGATTCGGATTTATACAAGAGTACACATATATAACAGGATATGCCTCAAGCTCTTAGCTTCAATTGCCTTCATACAGACACGATGAATACAAAGAGTTTTCTCCCTACATATTTTCTTCCATGTGCTGCATTTCAATCCATTTGTAAAATAGTTTTCTTAATTAAACACATTGTTCAGTATAACAAACATATAAAGCATACTTTCAGGCTACCAATGCAAATGCCATAACAATCAGCTTTTGTCAGCTGTTATTTTGCAGCTGCGTAACAAAAGCAACTGGTTGACTCCTGTATAATTTGTGCTTTTCATTAAATTAATTATTATTTCAAGAGGAAGAATGTCTGACAATGAGATGTCAGCTGTATATTATCTCGAATAGATAAACATATATGAACATATATGCTGCACAGATGCAAGCTACAGGTGAGTAGCGTGAAAGTAGAAAATGTTGATGCTAGGCAACGAGACAAGGTGCATTGTCTTGTTCTACATTTTGGACATGCACAGATAAGCACACAGATGTGAGCATGTGTGTGTGTGTGTGTGTTTATGGGAAGCCAAGCCGCATAATCCGCTGGCGATAATTTATGATAATTCACGTAGAGCTCACACGCAATCGCAATGCAACTTTCGCAGTGGCAGCCGCAGCTCATCCACTGCTAATAGACCAAAAAGCAGAGCTAAATAAATGCGGCAGCAGCAACCGCAGCACCAATTGCCAATTTGCTGTAATTGCCATTTGTGTTAACAGCAAAGCAAACAAAACGCTTAGCCTGCCCCACGATCAATGGCAATTGTGGCGCTTAGAAACAAAAGAGCCAAGCAACGAACTTGCCAAGATCGGCGCGAAACTTTTACCAGAGGCTGCATCGATTTATATGGCCTTTGTTTTCTGAAGCCGAACCAAACTAGAACGAGTCGTACATTATGCGGCCTGGCAGTCTGGGAACCGCCAAAAACAATTGCATAAAAGGAAAAGCCTTCGTTGTTTTTTTTTGCTTCCACATATACATATATATGCTTTTCACTTTCACTTTGTGTTGACATCGGAGGCGCCCCCGCTGGCAAATGCTGCTCGAAGCGGGCGCACAGGTTGGCATTGGCAATTGCTGTTGTCAGGTGCTGGCCCGCTGCTTGCAGCTCGTCTGCGATGGTTAATCAAAAATTAAGCGCTGCTGGCCAATTACGTTTCACTTTAACCCCGCGCCGTGGAAAGCCGGACTCCGTGACTGACTCTGACTGTCGACTGACGAACTTGCCACGCTGTTGAATTTATTATATGCTTTTGCCATGCTGTCAACCACATTTGTGGCCGTTGTTTGTTGTTGCTTTGTTTATTATCCCAGCGCAATTTTATTTCAATTCAAGTCAATTTAATGTAAATATTTTGTGTAGATTTGCATGTCGCCAGCACATAACAAATCATTTTCCTTGTGTTATTTTTCTTGTAAATTCTCGCAACAAATTTAAATTTTCATAGGAACTACCTTAGTTTTGCACCCTCAGCGCGGGCTTTGCGTTTAAGCTTCTTGAAAATAAATTGCGAGGCGCAGCTGGGGGGCTTTACTGCCATTGCCATTGCCATTGCCACGGCCATTGCTGCTGCTGCTATTTCCGTGGCAGGCACAACAGAATAAGTCCTGTTTTTCGCGTTATGCCACATTTGAGTAATTTATAAACAAAGCTTGCGCTTGATTACCTGATGTGCACGTTTCCAATTTCCCCAAAAGTATTTGCGGTGAAATTTCGATGGCACATCATTTGCTTTCCGTTTTGACCCCCCTATTCCCCTCACACTCAGCCATCGTCGAACGCTCCGTAACGACATGCAAAGTTCAATGTTAAATGCCAATCAATATGACCACGTCTGTAACCACATGCTGCCAAATGTGAAAAGCTGACCAGGCTCTAAGCTGCGCTCATCAATCAGCGTTGCCAGCCGACTGCCGGCTATGGAAACTGAATTTTGTTTAAGCCAAACAAAAGGAAAACAAAGAAGGACAGCTTTGTTCGCCAAAGACTTAATACCCTTGCAGGCTTACGGCTTGGCAGATATGTTTAGATAAAAGACAAGTAAAGTACTTACCGAGTTTGATTCTCCCATATTTTCCACATGATGTTGTAATAAACAAATCTAGTTATAATTAATGTCCATAAGTTTAGTTGAAATATGTTGAATATAAGGCAGCTATATGATATAGTGCTCCGATCCGGTCGATTCCTGCAACAAAGGGATGAGGATGGCTTTGAAACTGAGAGGATATAGGCTTAATAGACTCGGTAGCTTATATGGATCAGGAATATATATATATATATACTATACATAACACATTTCAAGACAATTTTATAATCCCCACTACTAGCTTATAAAAAAAACACAATGCATTTGGAATTTGAAGCCTTGACATTCGAGGCTCTTCAACTCAGACTCAGACTCACTCTCGCTTTCTCTCTGTCCCTCTTTCTATCTGGGCCCGCAGGCTCTGGTCATGACACTGCAACAGACAACAGACAACAGACAACAACATACAACAGCTACAGCAACAAGCGATGCAAACAATTTTTCATTTACATTCTGCAGCGCCTGGGAGAGAGACAGACAAAAGGTCCTGGCACATTGTCGCAATTGTTTGCACAAATCCCAAAGAATTTGCGCAAATAAGTTGGCATTTAAATATGATTTTGGGCCAGCTGCAAAATGACCTCGCCGCGCAGCGGTCGCCATTTGGTCACCTTGACAAATGACAAGAGCCTTAACCCGTTGCTGGCCACTCAAAAATAAAAAAAAAATATATAAGAAAAAACAGAATACCCCTAAGGCTGTTTCATGCTATATTTGCCTTGGGTTCAATGGACCGGACCGGCGCACAGCCACCCGTAGATGATAAATGGAAGCGCAGGCGAACGTGACACGGACCCAAAAAAAAAAAAGAAAAATTTAAAAAAAAAAAACAGAAAAACTACCAAAAAAGTGAAAGCATCTGCGGCAAAGTGAAACTGGCCGCCAAAAGGAAGAGCTGCTGCAACCTTTTGGCGAGGCGCAGACGTTGCCTTGGCCCCAACATTGCTGCCACATGATGTTGCAGGCTGCGCTGTTCGTTGCCTCTGGCAGATCTGGCAAGTCTTGTCCAGAGTTGAGCTGCAACAGTTTGTTGCATGTCAATATGGCAGAAGGGGCATGGCTGATCGGCTTTGCGCTAAACAGTTGCAAGGGCCAAAGACGCTGCGAACTTGTCTGTGTGCCAAGCCAAATACTCTGTGTGCATGTGTGTGTGCGTGTGTATGTGTGTGCAAGTACTTCACAGCGAGTGCTTTGCCTTGGATACGCTTTTCTATAATGACTTTTCCAGCTGCTGAATGCAAACATTTGCCAAAGTCGATTCGCAGCGATTCCCAGCTTCACTCTGTTGCCCTCCTTCTCTCTCTCTCTCTCTCTCTCTCTCTCTCTCTCTCTCTGTCTCTCCACACTCTCTCCCTTTCTCATTCTGAGGTCAAATGTTAGCGGCGCAATTTGTGCAGGGATTTTAATTGTTGCTTTCTGAGATTTTATCACTTTAATTAGACAGAGAGATGCCAAGTCACAGTTGTTGTTGTTGTTTCTGTTGCTGCCCCAAAGGTTGCTAGGCCATTACGCACTATTCATCTTGTAAATGCGACACTTGAGAATCTAATTACCACGCAACTCACAAGACGCATCCAATGGACACAGAGAAAGAGAAAGAGAGAGATGGAGAGAGAGGGAGAGACTGGAAGAAAGAAAGAGGCGGCAACTGTCCAAATGGACATCTGGCTGATTTTCACCAAAGAAAGCAAAAGCAACGCATTATAATTAATTGTTGCAATAATAAAAATAAATTTACTTTGACACTGGACACTTGCGCTGGCCAGCTGTGAAAAATTTCAGATGCTTTTCATTGTGTTTACACTTGGAGTGGGCATAATAATACACACACAAAATTGGGAATGTATGGAGAAAGGAAATTACATATGATTCCAAATTATCCAAGCATATCGATACCCAAAAACTATCCAGTGGTATCGATACCAAAAAATATAGTGCTGCAAAATTACCCAAGGAAGAATATCGAAGACTGCAGTGTTACGAAAGTACTCAATGTTATAGATTCTTAGGAACATAGTGTTGCAAAAATATCTAATAATATCGATGCCAAGGATCGATACTGAGGCACATTATGTTTCAAAATTAAGCGAATTATCAACATTTGATTTTACTTTTTATTAAGAAACTCACAAAATGTATTATTCTTCAAATTAATTGCAAGGTAACAGCGCTTGCCTTCAGCCTAATATTGCATGATTATTTATTAAATTGGCATTAACGCTAAGACTGTTTTTCAAAGAAACATTTCGTCCTTCTAAAACTTAATGTTCCAAATTTATCTGCATCTACATTGATTACTTTACGCTTTAAATTCGATTAGAATAAGCCGCATATGCTTGGAGAGCAATTTATATGATACAAACATGTGCCTATTTATATACAACCTACTGATTGATTGGCTGATTGACGGACTGAATGATGATAAATGCACAGCCTAAGCCGCAGCTGATTTTTGATCATTAATTAGCTTTAAATTTACATTTTACATTAAACATTTCAACATTTTTGTTATCAAAATTTATGATTAAAAGAAAAGTACTTTGGCTTGGTAATTATAATAGCGTATAAAATGTTGGACGAGGCGAGGTTTATTTGCAAGTGTATTTAATCTTCGTCATCTGTTAGTTAGCTTTTTATTTTTTTTCTTAATTTTAAATAAAACTCCAAATTGGCCAAGCGTTTATATAAATTGTGTGCAGACTAAGTGAAAAATTGCCTCGTGTGTCCAGTGATGCTGCATGCAAACGTTAACAGCAGCATCTACAACCAGCCCCAGCCCCAGCCCCAGCCTCATCCCCAGCTTCAGCCCCAGTTCCAACCCCCGCCCCATTCCCATAGTTGGCACATTTTGTGGCTGCCACATCCGCCGTGGCTGACAGTTGGCAGCTTATCGTGCCGCCGTCAGTTGGTCGCAACTAAAAGCTAATTAGTGTGGAGATTTGTGCGCAGCGTCTTTGATTAGCTTCAAAACAGTCATCAAAACAGTCATCAAATGCCTGAAAGCTAACACCGAATCTGAAACACTTGTCGAGCACCCAGACACAATGCGCCTTAGTACCTAAGCAGCTGTTTCCGATCTTTATCGGCGGATATGCTTCAAAGGCTGCCGGCAAAGTTATTAAGACCCTGAGAGCGTCTATAACATATGAAACTTCCAACAAGTAGATAACGACAAGACACACACACACACACACTCGCACACACACATACATTTTCACTTTCTTTTGTTTAGAGCTCGTTTCGTGAAAATTGCAATTTTTATTGCACTTGGGTCGCTTGAATGAACGCCCGCATGAAATAGAAAGTTGAACATAAAACAAAACCCACGTACATTGTACACCACATATGCTTTAAAGGGTTAAGGTTCTAAAAACTGAAAGTTAAGGTCAACTGCGATGCGAACCGCAATTTGTTGGTGTCCACAAAGTATTTAGCAAGTATTTAGAACAATTTATTTACTTTCTCCGGTGCAAATATGAAAAACTTCACACACATAAAAATGCATAAATAAATATAAAGAAAAACCGCAGAGTAGATGCTTAAATTGTTGTTGTTGTTGTTGTTGTTGCGGTGCCTGCTGTTTATTAAAACTCAATTCTGGTTTATTTTTAATGTTGCCACAATGAAATTGTTTTTATGGCTATTGCCGCTGCCGCTGCCGCTTCTGCTGCTGCTACTGCTTTATTATACCGTGCACAATTAGAAAATGGGTATTTTGGTTAAGTGAAAATGTATGTAACAGTATATTTATATAGCCAAGTCGATCTATAAATGTTCTGTCTGTGCGAGCGTCTGCAATTATGATTTCAGAGACCACAAGATTTGAGAGACTTTGTAGGTCCTTCTATTACCCGCGCAAATCAAGATACTTTTTAAGTCCTTGATAGTTCATTCACAAAATCGTTTCTAGATATGTTTGCTTAACCATGAGTTATAACAGCTAGATACAGCAAATTTTGTGTGTAGACACTGATCCAGGATGTGTCTGTTTTTAAAACCTTTTCAGTTACCTCTTAAGATAGTAAGAACAAAAATATTTAAGCTATCGTATATACACACATTTAAACGCTATATTTAAGCCCTACAAGTTGGGCTATAAGTACCGAAGTTTTCAAAAAGTTTAAAAGTTAGAGGTCATCTTCTAGTCAGGCACGGCCGATTAAAGCACTCTTGTTCCTTTTTCATACTTTGCTTTGTTTTGGCCTCGACCACAAAATGGCACAGAAAAACACTGAAAAATCTCTTGACTCTGGAAAGAAAAGTGCAAGGCGTGTCACAGGCAGATGCCGGATTATGGCTGGCGGTTGCCGGTTGGCGGCTGGCGGCTGGCGGATGGCGACGTGGCCAATAGACAATGAAATGCGGCTTGGAGCTGCCGCTTGGCCTTGCCCGTGGAAACCACGGCGACAGCAACTCTGACTCCAGACAATTAAGTTTCGGTTCGCGTGCACTTAAGCAGCCAAGATATAGGCATAAGATATGGATATGGTTACATGTGCGAGCGTGTCGGACGACGTGTTGGAGCACGGATGCGGACATGTCTCATGCAAGCAGCTGCACCCGCACAAAAAGCAAAGCACACCTTCGCCTTCGTCGGAAGCCCCATTGTAAGCAATGTAATGCCCAATGCCGTGATGGACAGTTTGACGTCTTTAGTTGGTCTGCATTATCCATGAGCTGGGCAAGAAAGTATGCGGCGCATAAATTGTGCTGAGAAGCGAGCTTATTAGGTGTCAAACATGAAATTTGTGCATAATAGATGTAATGCTTGTGCCCGGCTGTCAAAGTGGGAAATACGAAAGAGCAGAGTGCTAGACTGTGAGATGCCCTGTTGTCAAGTCTACTTGGTTACACATATGAATACTATTATTAGATATGCCCCAGGTAAATAAATATGATTAAAATATACCCTATAGTTAAAAAAAAGGCAGCACTTGTATTAAAGTTCATAAAATGCAGCACAGACATTGAATTGTACCTCGCACGCTTCAAGCTATAAGACTGCTTGGCTTGGGAGTACAAGCGTTGGACTAACGAGCGAGAAGTCGCTGGTTCAACTCAACTATGTTTTAGTTTTATTAGTTATTATCTAATTTAAAAAATATCAATAATATATTTCAAACAAGGTACACAAGTTGAGCACCTTTTTAGCAGCATATTTATATTCATATTTTATGTTCATATTTTATATGAATGCATTTTCAACGTTATTTATTAGACCCGCGCGACGCCTGGTAATATAATTTAGAGTGTTATATGTACCAATACATATGGAGTACTGAAAATATTTTTGAGCAAAACATACTTTGCGCTAAGAAATTGGTTAGTTGGTTGGTTTTTAAGTTATTTGTTGCATTGGCGCAACACTTATATATACTCTATGTCAACTTTACATTGGAACAGGGTATAAGAAATACTGACACCAAATAGGACTGTCTGGTGCTTTAAGTTATTTTTGCTACAGCCTCACATTCAAATGCTTGTCTGTTTCCCTGGCGAAAATCAATTGAAGTTTTTCCATTAAGTGCTGCATCCCACTCCAATATGCAGCCGGGCAGAAGAGGTTAGTGAACCTACTTAGGGAGAGCAATATGTGCACTTTGAGTGCGCGCCATTCACCAATATTCACTCGTCAGCAATAAAAAATACTCATAATGCGATCAAACAAACCGAATATATAATGATATGCAGCGATCCATGCAAATCGCAGGCGTCTGGCCATGGCTGTGGCCCTGGCCCTGGCCCGTGTCCGGCTTAAGGTGCGCCTTAGTGAAAGTAAAATAAAGTGGAAATTGCGGCAGCCAAAATCGAAAAATTAGTGGCCCAGAAAGCGACAGAAAAACATTTTCCAAAGCGTTCGTTCGTTCGGGCAACTGGCAAGAGGGAAATCTCACACTTGCCCAACTGTGTTGCAATATCTCTGCGGTTAACAAGTAGCCGGCACGACAGTCATTAGTCTTTGGGATCTGAGCAGGTGACGCTGTGCGGCCTAAATTTGCGACTTTATTAGTTGAAAATGAGCCAAGGTGAGGCTCAGGTACGCAGACAGGTGGGCAGTGGTCGGTGGGCGGTGGGCTGCCTCAGTTGAGTGGCATGCGAGCAAATCCCTTTTTGACGCAGCAGCTGCCAAATAAAGCTACACAATGTCAGCTGACTGGGCGAAAGCACTGGACAAGAATCCAGAAAATGTATATTCAAACATATTTCCGCTTGTCTTTTTGGGGAAAAGTTTTTTGCTTGCCACGACAAGGCAAAGCCACAATTATGTGGCAGCTAGCTTTCCTTTCGGCTGCCTGTGTGTGCGACTCCATGTGGCACGTTCTATGAGCAGCACAGCGGATACATGGCCAAGCTACAAATGCTGGCTCATGCATAAAATACAGGCAACAACAATTTGTCTTTTATGGCAGCAAGAGCAGCAACAGCAGCCGCAAGTCAATGGCCGTTTGGCCCGGCTTTAATAGATGCATATCATGGTAGCTGAAAGCCCTAGATTGCATTGGCCATCAGGCAGATGGAAACACTCTCTAATAGTTTCTGGGTGTTGCCCGATTGTAAATGGGCCTTTTCGGAAAATTTGCATAATAAAATTGAGCTGCAAATTGCAGGTGCTTAGTGGCTGATAAATACTTTCTTTATGGTCAACGTTCAATGGCAATGGAAATGCGAGGCGAAAATTGCCAAATGCCAAATTGAAATTAAAGTGTCGACAACAGCAGCAACAGCAACAAGAGTGACGACCAAAACGGCAGCCAGTTTAAAAATGGTCAAAAGCCAAACACCTACCCAGGCAACAAATTCAACTAATATATTTGGCCATAAACAACGAAAGCGTCGGGCATAAAAAAAAAACCAAGTCCAGAGCTGTTGCTGCTGTTTTTGCTGCTGCTGCTGCCGGCGCAATGATCATTAGAGCAACATACTCACGGCAACAGCAGCAACTGAACAACAGCAACATTAACAGTTGCTGTCGGAAAACTGAGTAGACTGCAAAGAAAACAAGTAAGAGTGCTCTAGTCGGGCATGCCCAACTAGCAAGTACCCTGAGCCCAGCTCCAAGCTGCCTTTATAGATATACTTAGCTGAAAAGCCATGGTAAGGGCGTCCTAGATTAACTTCGATTACTATTGTCCGATGTGTATTGATGACCTTGAATATGGCATCCAATTGAGAAATGGGCGAACGTATAGTATATATTAATATATAGTATATAGATTTTTTTTGATGCGGAGATCGAGGCTTTATACAAAAGAATTGGGAGACAGACACACTAGCATGGTTAAATAGGGAGATCGGCTCAACGTCTTGATCAAGAATATATATACTCAGGATCAGAGATGCTCGCTTGTCTGGCTATTACAAACGTTTGCACGAAAACATAATACCCACTTTCGCCCATTAGCAGGGTATAAGAAAACACGAGCCGCAAACGAAGTCGACTCCCGCTCCAACTTCAACTGCATGCCCGCCGCACGAAGAAAATCAAATTGTAATCAAGTCGCGGCCGAGCCGCAAGAAAGGTCTATAAAAGAATAAAGCGCGCCAAGGCTGGCCATCAGTTTGATTTAAACTTGCGGCGGCAGTGCAAGAGACGCGCTCCAAGCAACCCACAGATATCAGCTGGCCAGGATTAGTACGAAAGACGCACCAGACGCGTGTGTTGGCAGAGTGTTGAGCAGGATTACGTGGACGCGAGTGTGTGTATTCTGTGCGTGTGTGTGAAATGAAAATGACATTCAAGCAAAAGCAACTGCTGCTCCTGCTGGGCCTGTGCCTGGCCTGGCCCAGCTGCGATGCGGCCACCGAGCAGCTGAGCAGTGTGCCCGCCAATCAGAACGCGGGCGCACGGACCCTGCTCCGCGTCTACGATGAGTGCAATCGGGCGGAGACGGGCTTTGTGCCATGCCTGAAGAAGAAGGCCATCGCGTTCATAGATCGTATAGCGCCCATCGATGCCATCAGCGTCGCCGATGGCATTAAGCTCGTCCGCCTCGAGGCGGCGCCACGCCCGGCTGCCTACAGCGAAAACGAACTGGAATCCTCGCTGGCGCGTTCCGGCAGTGAACGCGACGCCAAGCTGACGAACATGCTCATCGAACGACTGAGCTACTTCTTCAACGGACACTCGCTGCAGGTCAGCTTCCCCAAATTGACTTCCGATGAGATTGGACGCGGACTCGAGGAAGGTAAGCGTGCCACACACACATACACACACACCCAGCTACGCCTGAGCGTAATTGCCGTCACGTTACGCTGCAAAATGCACCGCTAAATGCATTTAGCCATTGCGCGTGACAGTGACATAATTTTGCGAGCGCCATAATTGGCGGTTATTAGAGGCAAGAGTCAGGCTCAGCTTGTTATACATAACGCCTCTTATTGCATATGGCTTTGGCTTAATTGAATAGCTGACAATGACATTGGCAGCCGCTTGGCCCACTTCCTGGCCTTCTCATGTTCGCTGAGATTGCGGTGGAAAATTCTTGTCTTTAGGAAAATGTGCAATTGTTTTCGTGCACACACGCACACACAACAAGACACGAAACTCGTTCGTCAAGCTTACAATGACCCATAAACCTAAACAAGAACAACAACAACAACGATGACGAAAAATTGTCATGCCAGAATTTCGTGTTAACCCGCACAAAACATATAAAAAAAAAAAAATAAAACAAAACAAGCCGAAACGTAAATGCTCTTAAAAAATGAAAACAAGAGAAATTGCAGTAAAAGCCGTTTAATATGGCTTTTGATTTGAGGCAAGACTTTTTATGAATTTTGCGAATATTTCAAATTGAAATACATGTTGAAAGTGTTGCAAAGTTATGAGCTTATGCCTTATACTTATGTACACATATCGCAAGTCAAAAGTAGAAGTTTAATATGTGCACATATCACAAGCTTCATGCCAAATATAGCAGATTGCAGAAGACTCCTTGGAATATTATTAAAGATACTTTTTTTTTAATGGATAAAGCATAAAACATTTTGAATAAAGTGAAACCAAGAATACTTGGGGAAAGATAGGCTATTAATTAGAAATCCTAAAGAAAGTATTTGTCAAACTATTTATTTATTTATTTAATTCTAAAGAAAGTGTATTCCAATATATTTAATCGTATATGATTGGGTGTAGTTTTTATCAAGTTTGCGCTGAAAAATGGTGTTCCTTTATATGAAAATATATAAATGTTTCCATATGAGTTTAATATCAGATATGTTGGTTTTTGGCGATCTTTCCATTTTATAAATATTTATTTAGCTGGTTCGTGGCACAAAAATCATGTTTTGTTTTATTTCATATCAATTCATGATTATAATATATTAGCATGACAGGAATATAAGTATATAAACCTCTATTTCATTTGAAATATATTTCATTTTGGAAGATATTCCGAATTTTCATGGAATAAAGAGCTTTTCAAATACTGCTTCAATCTAAAGCCATACGAGAAATCAGCAATTTAGTTAAAGAAAAGCCTCACATAAGCAAATCAAGGTAAATACTATGAGAAATACACTCAAGAAAATAAAAGATGTCTTCAAAGAGAAGCTGTAGAAAACTCGGAGAGCAAAGTTTTTTAATATTCTATTCCACATTTAAAATAACATAAGAGTCAAATCATGTTAAAACAAAAGAATTATGAATATAAAGTTTATTTGAACTGCTTCTACACAAAAAAAAGTTGAAAGCGCTTTAATTGTGAAAAGCCTGTCAGGAATATAAGCAGCAATGTATGCCATAGAAACACACTTGGGTACAAATGACTCAAAGGAAAAGCGCCGCAGTCAAAGTACACTTAAATATACTTATATGCCCTGCTTGCACGAGACGAGGCTTGTTGGGGGCTTTGAGATGTCATGACCATGTCGAATGTAAAACGCAATGAAAGTGTCTTGGCCAGGTTTCACTTGGGGCCATGTTAACGACTTCTTGGCTGGCAAGCGAATGCTTTGCATCAATTACAAATTTGACAGAAGCACTCAAAGCATTTGGCAGCGAGAGCAGCAAATATTTTACAGTAATTTTTTTTTTTTCTTTCTCATTTTGAGTATTTCCAGTAATGAAAAGTGAACTTACTTTCACGGCGCCTGAATGTTTTTCTTCTTTTACTTTCGAACACATTGATCAAGATATTCAATCGAGATATTCAATCGATACTTGTTTCCACTTGGCAAACACTTTCCCAATTGCCTCACCATTTTTGGTTAATTGCAATCGCATCAGTTCCAAGCTTGTTATTGACTATTTGCTGCCTGGATTTTTGGTTGAATTTGCACACCCCTTGAGCCAGACTGGCTGGCTGAGGCTGATATGATTTTCACCACATCGAGTGAAATCGCCAAAAGTGTCCCTGATGACACGTCGGCAGCAACTGCACCAAAACGAAAGCCACACAAGTTGGACAAAAAAAAAACAAAAAAATACACACAGAAAAACATAAAAAAAACGTCAAGAAATTTATTCTCACACAGCCTTTGTAACTTTGGCAATAGACTCGGGTGCACTTTCACCAAAAGAAAAGCTAGGAAAAACATCTCGCAGCGCTGCTCCCTTGACAATTTAATGCCAAGCATGAAAGCTTAACCAACGCATTGTTTACAGTACAAGGAATTTGTATGAAAGCGTGTGAGAAATAACAATAAATGAAAAATGACGACCAAGTAAATAATCGTATTTTATGCTTATATAATTAGGTATATCTGTACCTAAGCCTGGATTCGAGCTGGCATTCTGCTAGTACCTAATATCTTTTATCTATTTATTTTATATTTATTATTATTATAAAATGTATTATAGTTATTATTTTTATACAACTTAGATGGGAATAGGGATATTTAATGTAGACAACTCCACACCCATACCGAAGCCTGGCATTCGAGTTAAGTCAGTTAAGATCTTAATTTCATCAAGTTCCTCTCGAGCGGTATAACAAACGGTTTTCTTTATTGCCTTCACTTTGTTGCAGGCCGCGGCAAGATGAAGAAAATGGGCATGATGATGGCCATGATGATGGCCACCAAGCTGATGGGCATGCTGCCAATTGCCATGGGCGCACTCTATATACTGGCGGGCAAGGCGTTAATTATCTCCAAGATAGCGCTGCTCCTGGCTGGCATTATTGGCCTGAAGAAGCTGATGTCTGGCAAATCCTCCGGCGGCAGCTCTGGCTGGTCCTCGGGCGGTGGCGGCGGCGGCGGCGGTGGCGGCGGCGGTTGGTCCTCGGGCGGCGGTGGCGGTGGCGGCGGCGGCTGGGACAGACGCTCCCTCACCGAGGCGCAGGAGCTGGCATATCGTGCGCACAGCAGGCAGCAGGCAGCCCAGCAGCAGGCAGCTCAGCAGCAGAAGCAGCAGCCGCTGGGAGCGCCGTTGCAGCCAACACTGTCCAAGACATAGACGCCACACACACACACATGCACACAAAAGTTAATAGCTCCAAAGCTGCATTTATCTTGTAGATAAATTACCAGAGCAAAGAGACAAAGAGAGAGAGAGAGAGAGGGAGAGAGGCAGAGAGCGGAAGAGACGCGCGCTGAGGGGCAGGCTGGCAAAATGTAATTAGATTTTCCAAATGCTTGCTGCTGCACCTTTTTTTCCACCCGACTAAAGTTGATGCGTTTGCAACGGTTAATGGCTGGCCAAGGCACAGTTGCACCTACAGATACATCGCTGCAAATGTATCTGTAACGTTGTGCATCCATTTTAATCATTGCCATTTGCATAATACAAATCGATTTACGTAACATGAGAATGCGACGCACTCGGTTCCGTTCCGTTCCTATTCTATTCTATGTTTTCCCGTTTACTGCTATCCAGTTGAACTTCTGTCTGAACTTTGTATCTGCATCTGGCTGTCGCTTCATCTATCCATCCATCTATCTATCCATGTATCTCTAACTGCACACAGTTCCTGTTATTTTTCAATTATTCATTCATTCACTCGCTCACTCACTCGCTTATTCACTTATTCATACTGTTGTTTCTTCTGGTCTAAAGCAGCCAGCCACGCTCTGCGCCCGTTTCCAGCTCATTTTCACGCGCACATTTTTTGATTAACTTTAATCTTAATTCGCCTAACTGTAGTCTAGTGTAATAATTTATTAACATTATTTATTTCCTAGCTCTAAGCGTGTCTCGCATGTAAGCAGCAAAGTTTTTCAAGAAACACAAAAGTTACAAAAAAATAAATAAATAACTAAAAACAATTACAAATAAAAATAAAATAAGACAATAACATATATTTCTATAAATAAAACATTTTCTCTGACTCAATTTTATTTCTCGACTACAAGGTCAACTTAAAGTCCAGTCCTGTATACTGATTTATCTGAGTAAAACAAACGACATGTATACACTTCCTGGCATCCTGTGGCTCTGTGTCCTTGACTACCTTGGCACCAAATGCCAGCATGTCCCCATATGTCCCCAAACTCGGCCACGTACAGCTCGCACATCCGTCCGCATGTACAAGGACGTGCTGTGGCCCAGCCCCCACCGCTGTCCACCTGAGACATGTCCACGTTGTAGGTGAGATTCCCTAGATGTTTTCACTACACACATGTGCTGCTGCTTATTTCACGACAGTAGTTTATTGTTGCCCCTGCCCGGGGGATTGTTGAGATAATGGCGAAGATACATGCACGCCATTTGGATGGAAACTATTTTGGAATGTTAAATATAAATATTATGCGCTTCGTTCGAGCAGCTGATGCCAATTATGCGGTGATTCAGCAAAACACACGTCAAGTAGTTGCCAGAATAGAAAGGTGCCAGAAGCAACTTGGCAAGTTATTGAAAAATCCCCAAAATTTAAATCAAGTTCAAGGCGACCTCGACTTTTAGTCTGCGAGGCAACTTTACAAAACGGTTTCCGTATTTGAAAAGCCAGGTTCAAGTCATCTTTTAGCCAAAAACCCGAATTCGGTTGTCGTTACCAATTATTAGTTGGGCTGCTGTAACCTTTACATAATAATATCAGCGCTATAAATCAAGTTTGCTTAAGCGAACCGAAAACAAGGCAAATTTAATTTTTCAACTTTTTAAATATTCTGGTTTTACCTTATACAGGTTTGGTTCTCAAATCTCTGCTAAATAGCTGGCATGCGTGCATAGAAAGAAAGATTATTTCATTTTGAAATCAAATTAATAGGTTATTCAAATCAAAAGAGTTATTGCTGGCGAGTCGTGGGAGTGTTCGACTGGTAGATACCTAGTCATAAAGAAACCCTCATATCTAAACCTGTCGATTTTTTTTTTTGCACTCTATTTTTCGTGACAGCTCTACAAAGCTCTATAGATACATGGCGAATTTTTGTTTATAGTTTATAAGAACAGAAAATAAACAAAAATAACTAAGAGAGTCGGAAGTAGCCGACTGAGAGATACCCTGAAGGCAGCACAAAGCTGTTGTTTAAATATTTCAGCTATATTCTATTTTAGCTAATGTGCTTCTTCTTTACCCCCTTGCCCCACTATAGTTATGAGAAATACAGCCTTAAATACGAGAGACTTGTGCGGGGTATCCAGCCTTTATAATCTCTGAGTTATCCTTGAAGAGTCAACTTTCAAAATCAATATAAATCGATTTTATTAAAATGGGAGCAAGTATCGAAAAACAATAAAAAAATTGTAGTACGTCAATGTATGCAGGTCATTAAAAATTAATTTCCCAAAAATATATATAAAATATAATATAAATATTAGTTTTAGATCTAATGCGAATTCTTATAACTGGATATCTTAATAGCCAAAAACTTCCATAGATAATTACCAGCTTTTTAACTGACTCTAAATATTGAAATATTTAAGTAGTTGTTTCTATTTTGAGTTCCAGAGTTTGCTAGAATCAATACATTTAAAATGATGTTACCAACTTTTATATTCTCTCAGAGAGACTTTTCTGTTGGTCAAATCGATTCGCTTATAAATATTACAACTTCTCTTTCTAGCTTCTTAAATGAACGAATCTTTTTTATACCCTTGTCTAGAGTTACGGCAGGGTATACGCATTGATTTATGCTCTTTAATCTTTGCTATTTTGTTGCCAGAGGTTTGAAACACGTAAGCATATTATTTTTTTTTTTTTTGTTTTTATTTTACGGGCTTCTTACGTTACTCTACAGTTAGTCGGGCGTTTACTTCTTCTTCCACCAGCCGGAGGAGCCACCATAGCCGCCGCCGTAGCCGCCGCCGTAGCTGCCGCCGTAGCTGCCGCCATAGCCGCCGCCGTAGCCGCCGCCATAACCGCCACCGTGGCTGGTTGTGGTGATGACCTTGTAGACATCAACATGGCCGCCATGGCCGCCGCCGTAGCCGCCACCATAGCCGCCGCCGTAGCCGCCGCCGTAGCCGCCGCCATGGCCGCCGCCGTAGCCGCCGCTGTAGCCACCGCCATAACCGCCGCCATAGCCGCCACCACCGTGTCCACCGTCGATTATCTTGATGACTTGGACGCCACCGCCGCCGCCATAGCCGCCGCCGCCGTAGCCGCCACCACCGTAGCCGCCACCGCCGTAGCCGCCGCCGCCGTAGCCACCACTGTAGCCACCGCTGTAGCCGCCGCTATAGCCACCACCGTAGCCGCCGCCGCCGCCGCCGCCCTTGCCAAGCAGACCCAAGAATCCTGCCTGGGCAGATGCCAATGTGGCGACCACAACGAATAGACACACAAACAGCTGCACGAAAGAGATAGATTTAGTGTGTGTTTGTGTGTGTGTGTGTGTGGATGCATGACTGTGGAAGGAACTTAGTCCTTGATCCTTCCCAAAAGGCTAACTCACTTTCATAACGCACCGAACGCTGTCAGAGCAGGCGAAAAACTAATTCGAATTAAGCAAAACGCCTTCAATTTATGAGCAGACGCCGCCTCCCAGCTGTCTCTGCGAATCAAACCAACCGCAATCTGGCCAAGAACAACAAATATTAAAGCCAAAACAAATTAACTAGCTAGTTAGCTGAAGCACAGACTCACACATACATATACAATAAACATGCCCAAACAATTATACATACCTGAGAGTTGGCCTCTGGAAAGGTCTCTGTAGCTGGTTATGAATGTTGTCCGCTCGGAAAGTATATTTATTATTTGCATTAGTGTCCGCTTAGGAAGTGTGGATCCTAAACTAGTTCTGGCCGAATTTATTTGCATCTCATTTACACACACACACACACACGCTCACGCATACGCATCAAATTCGGTTGAACAACAATCGAACTAAATGCATGCAACTGATCTCAATCCCCGGCTGTCAATTCGATTGGCCAGCCATAAAAATTATAAAAAATCAAAACCAAACTACACTCGTTTCTATTGTTCGTTATTGTTTTCTATGCGCTGCGATTCATCTATTAAAATAAATTAATTTACGGCTCTGGTCAAATAGTCAAATTGTTGTTCAACAAGCGGTCGGCAAATTGTTCAAACTTCATGCCGGGCGGGCTGTACGGGAGGCGTGACATGTTTTAAACGCTTCAAAATACAATTCGGTGAGTGGCAATAAAAATTTAAATAAACACATTAAAGTCTTAAATGGATCCATCGGGCTTGCCCCATGATGATTGCACTGCCAGCCTTGACAATGAAATACTATCAGGAAGGTAAGCATATCTTGATTTTTTGATGATTCATCGTGACCAGCTCTTAACGAAGAGAAATATATTCATTTCAGCCGACTCGCTTATATCAAATAGAAATCCAAATTTTGATTGAGAGAGAAGAGTGGAATAAGCCAAAATGTTATTCAATCCGTTTAGAATAGGCATTTAAAAATTGATGGTAACATTTTTTAAGAGACTTGCTTTCGTCTCAGCTCAATTAAAAGCAGGTCGATAAAAAGACTTACAATAATTTATTATGCTACAGGCGCTTGAATAGCAAGTGGGCTAATAGTTTAGGAATCGAGCGCCCATCCAGACAATAATATAATTCTATAACTATTGCACACTTTTTATACCGTGAACCCATTAAAAGTGGGTATAAGGGTATATTGTATTTGTGCAAAATCCAAATGTATGTAACAGGCAGAAGGAAGCATCTCCGACCCCATAAAGTATATATATTCTTGATCAGCATCAATAGCCGAGTCGATCTAGCCATGTCCGTCTGTCTGTCTGTCCGTATGTGTGAACGCAAGGATCTCAAAGCTCATAAGAGCTAGAGACTTGAAATTGTAGATGTAGGTGCTCCTAGTGCCCGCGCAGATCGAGTTTGTTTCCGATAATCGATATTAACTTACTCCATTTCCAAGCAATCGATAAAAATCGATATCGATATTCTGTTTTTTGGTCAATTTTGGTAAATAATAAGAGTTAGAGTCTCCAAACTTGACATATAGCTTCTAAAATAGAATATATATATTCATTAGATGTTGGAAGAAGAGAGTTCAGGGTATCCCCTAGTCGGAAGCTCCCGACTAGAACCTCTTACTTGTTTTATTTTGGTACTCTCAAAAAGTATTGCTACTTTAATCTTATGTTGGACCTGGTATACTATTTTAGCTGGACAGCATTGTCATCGTCATCGTGATAAGAAATCTTATTTATTATAAGAAGTTCGGTTTGGTACGTAAAATTGTCATAAGTATTAAGTCAGGTTTGTTCCCACAAATCTAAGTCAAGTGAGACAATTGTTTTCTTAGCTGTAACTTTAGAAAACATGGATATAGTTTTGAAGTGGGCGTGGTGCATATATTTTTATGCCTCTAACTCAGAAAAGAGTTTGAAATTCAGAGTGTTTAGCGATAAAAGTGTCCGCTATAAAGGATTTACGAATAGATGGACTGTGGAATAGAGAGGAAAGCATTGCACAAAACTAATATACTTCTTTCCAGGTAAAAAATAATCCTACGTCAATTTCTCATGCCTAAGCGTAGTGTAGTGTTTCAGTAGTTTCTTCAGAAGGAGGAGAATCTTATTTTATTTTATGAAGTTTTTTACCCTTATAAATATTCAATATGCCAGCCTTTCTTAGATATGCTCCCTCAAATTACAGCCACTTAGATATAAAATATGAGAAAAAAGATTGCGCTAATCACAAGTTTGGCATGGTAAAGCACGTAACCAATTTAAGCCCAACCGAAAAGATGTGGCAGCTGGCACTATCTGGCACTTAAGGACGAAACCAGCTAGACTGAGGCGGGCACAGGTAGGAGCGCGGCTTGCTTCTGGCTCTAAGAAAACAAAACACATGCTGGGGCTGGGGCACGAAATCGATTACAATTGCCGCTTAAGAGTATGCAACAAGCAGCTGCAAAAATTGGCAGCGGCAGCTGTCATAGTGCTCAAAAGCAGGCAACACATTTGGCGGCATGCAACAAGGCGCCTGAAAGCACACGCTGTTGCATGCAACTTGCGTGCTTTTAGGCGCAGCAAAAAGGCGCAATAAATAGCAAAGCCGTGGCAGGCAGCTATTACAGCTGAAGTTGGGCCCCAGCAAGAGTCTGTCAGTGCGCCAATTAGCTGCGGCAATTGTGTGTGTTGCAAGTTCAGAGTCGGCAATTAGCATGCCCCAAAGTGCAGCAGCTGGCTGATTAGATTGGGCACACTTTCCCGGCGTCGACAGCGACGTCTTCGGCTTGGACACTTATATAGAATCATAGTGTCAAGTGCAGGCGGCAGTTGGCATCGAGTTGGCCTGCAAGACGCAGCCAGGCAGAAAAGTGAAAACAACACGTGCTGTGGCACAAACTATATACCTGGCTATACATTAATCTTATACACCTGTTAATTAAAATGTCAACGCTTCAATGGACAGCACAGCTTCAGATATATATGAATAAATAACTTGGCCAATTGCAACAATTCGATCAGCTTGCCATTCTTAGCAGCAAATAGATTCGACTTGACCACATAATAGACGTGTGGCAAGCAGCTACGCTTGAGAGCAGCTCGGTGGCATGGTAAAAGTCAGAGCAGATACATTTAGAGCCCAGCTTAAGTTTGGGACAGCGGCCACTTTTCGGCGAAAGGCCGTTAAAGTCGCTCAACTAAAACAGTCGTAAAACCTTTCGAGAGTTTCTTCTTTAGAATTCAATCAAATCTGGAGACGTTGCCTTCAGTTCGATTCTAAACGGCGTGCGGCGTAGTTCGTGTGTGGAAGAAAAACAAAATGTGGCAGCAACAAATGTTGGTGTTGAGCGGTTTTTGGCTCCTGGCGCAGGCCGAGGGCGGCTTTAATCGCGGCGCGGCAAACAATGAGGCGCAGCTTCGAGTGAATCTCAATGCCTGGCAGCCATTGACGGGCGACAACAATTGGCTAATACTGCAGGCAACGACAGCAACAGACGTGCAACAACAGCAGAAGCAGCAACAACAACAGGGGCGACTTCCTGTCAATTACTACGCCTACAATCATCGGTATCAGGCGAGCGATTCGGCTGCCGCAAACGTTGCTGCCAGCGGAAATTACAAACAGGTGCGAGCGAATCTCAATGAGAGCCCCAGCTACGTGTGGGCCATAAGCCCCGCGCTGCGTCAGTTGTCGCAGGATGTGGCGGAAGTGAGAGCGCGCCCCGAGCCGGAAGTGCGCCAAGCTGACAGCTACGCGACTCTCACTAATGCACCTGATGAGGCCAACGAGGCCATTCTGGCAAGGCCCACGCCAACAGCTCTCCATATTAACAACTATTTGGCGGCATTCGAGCGAGCCGTGCTTAAGGTGCGCAACTTTTGTGACACTGTGCGTGAGATGATAAGCATGGAGGAGGCTGTGCCGGAGGAGGAGCAGGAGCCGCAGAAGCAGCAGACCGACCTAGGTAGGCCTCACTTCGTGCTTCTCAACAATATTTAGGTTTTTTTCTATAATCGCTCAGATTGTGAGAAGAGTATATAGATTTTGTGCGCTGTCCGTCCGCAAAAAATATAAACTAAAGATTTGAAACTTGCTTCAGATAAGGTATGAAAATTATGTGGCTAAGCCTGCAGTGGGCCTGGCAAGTCATGAAAATTTAAAAAAAGCCTTATTTATAATATTGCGAATAAGGAAACGTGCTCAAAATTGTAGAAAATGTAAGTCCAAAAGGTTCAAGTTTGGGATGAAAGCAACTCGATATATCAAATCGTGCCTGCCTTAGTCTATTATTGGATATTGGAAGAGCACTGCGCAGTCGGCTATACCCGACTGCAACACTTTTCGCTGTGTTTTTTTTTCGGCGCTGATGGACGCTGCTTAGGAGTCTGTTTGTGCGCTTGGACGCTCAAAGGCCCAGCCACTTAATTAACTGAAAACCTGTGACGCTTTTCCTTGCAGATGCCGAGTCCAGCAAATTAGCAGAAGCAGCAACAACATCAAAGGAAGTTCAAGGCCGACACAATCGGCTGACTGAGAGCTATCAGGGCCGCAAGCTGAAGAAATTGAAGAAGAAAATTCAGAAGCTGCTGCTGCCGCTGCTCATTGCGTACAAACTAAAGTTTCTGACACTGATACCCGTTCTAATTGGCGGCCTCGTCCTGCTGGTGGGCACCACCGGGCTGGCTGGCTTCTTCTTTGCCCTGTTTACGGCCGTAATGAGCCTCAAGTCATCAACAGGTGGCGGTGGTGGGCATTCCAGCAAAGCGATTCTATTAAAGAAAATTTAGAGGCCAACAGCGTTTGATTTAAGATTTAGTTCCAATTTCCTCTAATTAGGGCCCGGCCCTCGCCGCTGGGCCTCAGTTTAAGCAGGCAGTTAAAAGGCCAAAACGGAGATGGGCTTTATTGATAATACACTGAAATTAAGTAATATCAACAAAGCGGTCGCAATAGACAAGTTTCTTAGCTTCACGAAGTTTCTATACCCTTATATTGGTTCAAATTGAATTGAGCTATAATTATTTATTTATATTTTTAAGACGTTTGTTTAAGACAATAAAAGACAATAAATTGTGCATTTAATTGTGTGCAGTGTATTAAGTAATTAGGCTATTCGGTATATTTTTGGTCAAACAAAAGCGCGGTCACACTCTAAATAAATCTAATAAATTTTTTGAAGGCAATTCCCACAGAACCTCAAAAAGAAAATATTTACAAATGCAAAGTTAACAAAAGTGAGCTAATATTTTATTATTTTTTTTTTAGAAAATTCCATTTTTGCAGCTTATTTAATTTTTCATGTTATTTGTTGGTGCAGCAAAGTGAGAATAAATTTCTAATTTAGCTATAATATTTCCAAAAGCATAATTATTAAATTTGCATAATTTTTTTTTTATTATTATAAAATGTATTTCCTCTTTTCCCTGTTTCTTCGAATTTATATTTAATATTTTGTTTTTATTAACTTTTCGGCTTAAAGTAACAAATTTAATTTCTCTCGAGTAAGCCCTGCCCAGCAAACTAACTATATCTCAACTTGGTTAGGGTGTTATCAGCAGCAACATTAACAACAACAACAACAACAACAACAACAACAACAAGAACAACAACAACAACAATAGTAACAACAATAGCAACAACCGGATGCCAGAAAATCGCATTAACACTCAAATGACGTTATAAGCCTGGCTGAGTTGCGCCAAAGTCTGGTCATGATATGTGACGACAGCAGCGCGTTTGACGTTTGAGACTGAGTTTTTTAATATGCGTGGGCAGACCCTAAAAAACAGTTAACCGTTAGATGCGGTACATGGCACTACGCTGAGGCGCACTCCAGTACTTCGACAGCCAATTGAAATTGTCTTCGCCACGTTTTTGTTCGCACTTGAACGGCATTTAGTTCCGTTTACAAAACACATCAAACACACACAATTTTCATTTTCATTTTCATTTTCATTTAGTTTTCTCGTAAGCCTGCGCTTAATATGGCTTTTTATGGCCGGCTTTTCACAATAATTATGCCAATTAAAATGTGTCCTCTGGCCCATTGTAATTTATTCAGCGCATATTTTCCACATAAACAAATTAGCTTCTACACTCAAAATAATTGTTGTTAAGAGAAATTGTTTTCAGAATAATTATCGTTTAATAAGAAATTTAGAAATTGCACTTGTTTCACAAGGAAAAGAAATATGAGGAATGGAAAATGGAATAATTTTCTAAAATGCATAAAAATTCGCTTTTCTAAAATTTAGAGCCATCTTTTTTTTTTGAGTGTATAAAATTGATGTACTTGGTAAATATTTTCACGGCGTATGCCTTGAATAATATTTTCATCAAGCTTCGGATTTTCGCATAATATTAGACAAATAATTAATAAGCGTAATTTAATTACGCAAATTTGCAACAGAAAATTAAGTTGATTTAGTTTGCGAATTTTTGTTGCTTGTAATTGGCGACAGGTTTAATAATATTATGTATTTAAATAGTATTTAGCGCTTAAAACATGTTTTTCGCCTCATAAATAAAAGTCGCTTTGACCCTTGAGTAGGCGACGGGTGTTGGCAAGGGAGTTGGCGGGAGGCGTGTCAGCAGCTGGCATTTCTCCACGGTTTAGAAATGGAAAAATGTAGTTGCAAGTGTGTGCATGTGTGTGCGTGTGTGTGCGTGTATGTGTGTGTGCAGCTAAAATGGCAAGTGAACCGCAACGCGCCAACGTTAATAAAGAGTTTTTACTTGTTGATGCCATGGTAATAACACGGCTAACAACAAATACAACAACAAATGCAACAACAACAACAATAGCAACAACAACTGTAAAATCGTTTATTAAAGTAGGGAAAACTTAACGTGTGCGTTCACGCTCAAGTAAAACTGAATCGAAAACCAGAACAGAAGAAAGCAAAAGAAACAAGTAAGAGTGCTCGAATCGAATGACAGACTAACAGATACCCTAAACCAATATTCCCATACAAACCATAAAATGCATACAAGAACTCAATGCCTCGACTGTGCTTCTTCTTGTCTCAGCAACATACATTGGGATATGGGAACTTGGATAACTTCGGTGCTTAGAGTCCGATTGAGAAAGGGCACAGAAAAGGTTATGTCTCCAAGGAAAAGGCATGTCTTGAAAGGGTGCATATATCCAGATAGTTTCTGGCTATATTTAAAAATCGTAAAGGAATAAGAACTAAGTCGCAAAATTCCAACAATTATTGTAGATATATGAATGCTATACAAGAACGTACAAACAGATAAAGTTAAGCATCGATATTTATCGATTACCGAATTAAGAAAGATTGACAACAGGAATCCAAATCTTAAGAGTCTAGCTCGCACAGTCTTTATAGTCATACCCGGCTGCATCGACTCGGCTCGTCTACTCATCAACATACCCATTATTTAAACATTATCAATGGGTATGTGGTGTATACAAAATAGAACAAAGCACAGCAGCAACAGCAATCGGGGGCTATTAGCCACTTGGCCAGAACTGCAGCCACGTCCAAATGCATTCGAGTGCAACGAGGCACTGTGCGGGCGCATTAGCCAGCTACTTAGTTAGTTCCATCGGCTAGTTAGTTAACTTAGTTGCCTAAGCGAAGCGCTGCTGTGTAGAACTATATGCGGAATGCACTTGACTAAGCTACTACTCTGCATATCCTGCCTCATGAGTCTGGGCGAGGCGCACAGCCTGCCGCCAGCGGTGCAACTGGGCGGTGCAATAGTCGCTGCCGTCGAACAGGATGCCGAGCAGGAGGCCGAACAGGAGGCAGCCGCCACGGCGGAGCAGCGCTGGCTGCCGCTGGCCGAGCAGCAGCTGCGGCAGCTGCTCAGTAGCGAGCTCAGCGTGGAGCAGCTGGCCAAGCTGCTGGACAACTGGACAACCGAAGGTAGGCAGCAGCAGAAGATGACCTCAATTTCCGCAGCCACAATTAATGCTTCCATTCGCTTTCAGCTCGCGGCAAGCAGCACAAACAGAAGAAGCTGCTGAAGATGCTTTACCCGCTGCTGGGCGCCGCTGTGCTGGCCAAGTTAATACTGTTGCCCTTGATCTTGAAATGGCTGACGGCGCTCTCGGCCTCATCATTTGTCATGGGCAAAATAGCTCTGGCTGCCGCCGGCCTGTTGGCCTTGAAATCCATCATGAGTCCCACACACGAACGTCTAGAGATTGTGCACGCCTCGGCGCCGGCGCTGAAAAGCTATCATGGGGATCTCTCCTCGAGTGGCACCAGCTGGATGCCAATTAGACAGCATTACATACCGCTGGGCGTGGCCAAGGCGCAGGCTAACTTTGACAACAAGCCTTTTTTATAGACAAAGTCTTGTGTCAGATGCAGTCTTATGTAAGTTAGTAAGTATTAGCCGAGTCTTAATCGAGTCTATGTGAGTCTTAGCCAAGTTTTAGTAAGTCTTAGCCGAATCTTAATAAGTTTTATCAGCTAAGCCTAACAGCTTTAAGCTTGAAATTAAAATATTTTATTATTTTATTTACAATGAATCGCAAAAGAATATAAAAAGTAATAAATTAATTCAAATGGGGCTTGAACCTTTTTCTTAACCACGAACTGCTTAGTTGGATAAAAAAGAAGTCGAAGCTTAAACGAAGCATGTTTTCTTTTTTTCTCAACAACTATTAACCTTGTGACATTGCTTATCATAAAGAAATTAAATAAAATGGTAATTAAATTAATAAACAACATTTTGATATAATTTATGATAATTGAAAAAGATCTAGCACTTAGACGAAGTAAGGCTTGCACCCTAGTCGCGGTTCACAGAGGTATTTAGCCCTTAGCCAAGTTACAGAAAAAGTTTGGCTTGTCTTTGCCAATAGGCCGAAATAAAGCCATAAAACTTCAGCGGCGTCTGCCTCCGTTCACAATTAATTAGCACATGCACGAGTTGGGCCCGGGCAAATGGTGTTACGTGGACCCAAAGTCAGGTCGAACAATGCGGCAATGCGTCAATGCTTCAATGCGTGCACAGAGCCGTTATGCATAAAAACGGTTTATTGCGCATGCGCGACGACTTGGCCAAGACGCGGCGGCCTCGACCAAGACGAACTTCCGCAAATGCCGTGTTGCAATCCAAGTAAACGAGGGGCTTATGTAAAAGCCAAGCAGAGTCAATAAACAGGTCGTCACAAATCAATCAGCATGCAGCAGATGCAGTCAACAACAACGTCTTGGGTGGCGAGGGCTACCAGCAGAGTTTTTACCTACAACCACACCTGACTTACTCTGTAGCTAATTACTTTATGTAAGCACTGGAGAGAAGCAAAAAAATAAATAAAAACGGAGAAGAAGAACTGAAAGTTATTCAACATACTACCGAGAATGCCCCCACGAGTCATGGACTGTGGCTATACGTAGCTGCGGCTGGGACGGCCTCAGCTTGCGCCACACACAAGTGAAAGTTGTAGGGCGCACAGTTTATGGTAAAAACACACGCACACACACACACACACACACACACTTGCGAACTCGCACACTCAAAGCCAAACACAATTGCAGGCTTTTTAACACCGACAACAAAGTCGCATGCTAGCCGCATATCTAAAAAATCGATCAACAAAGCGTCGCCTCTGTCTTGGCCGCATCTTCTTTCTAGGTAACAAAACAAGTAGAGTGCTCTAGTCGATATTAGGCTCGATTTGATGATACCCTGTTCTGCTTGTATTGGAGAAATTATTTCTAAATAAAGTCTCTCTCATCACAGAATAACTCTGTACGATCACGACAACCTGAATTTCTTATTAAGTTAAAATCGATATTTATCGAAATTGTATTCAGCAGCGATAAATAGTCTTTTTTAAGCAATTAATCTATTGCTAATGGACAAGAGGGTCCTAAATATTTTGTGCTAATGTATGAAACAGGGAGGTGGAAACTTCTCCGATATATTTGCTTGATCAGAGGGAATAACTGAATTCTAGATACATGTCCCTCCGTGTAAACAAATCGATCGTAGCAACTTAAAAAGATACTTCATATCTTATACACAGAGTCTTGTATGTTTTGGATATCTTCTCCCTTTTCTGTTTTATCGATAAAAATCGATTTTAAGGCTTTTTTTAACATAACCACGTACATTCTCGTATTTTATATGCAGATTACAAGCATTTAACTTTGATTAAGATGAAGAGCTTTGCCAGCATAGCAAGAGACGTCTGTTACAAGTTTCCTGAATCAATCAGAATACCCTCAGCTGAAAATAGCAAAAAATGTTGATAGTTAAGCTACAGGCGGGTGCTGTCGACGCTTGGAGCTTTATCGTCACATCTCAGTCTGTTGGGTTGACAACATTCTCGGTGTAGTGAATGCTGGACGCTTCGATGAGTGCGCAATGTTTGCGACTCTCACGAGATTACCTAACCAGACCATTTAGCATAGATGCCACACGAACGAGCAAGAGGAAAACAAAAACTCTAACTTCGGCTTGAAGTATTTGTTGTTTGAGCATTTGTGTCATCAATTTCACTTTCTTTGAGGCTTAAGTTAAACAACGCATTGCCATTGTGTGCTGGGCCCGTGCTGGGCCCTTGGCCTGGCCCTGTGAAAGCGTGTGCGCTCCCACAGGCGCACAATTTATAGATTTGGTCAGGAAATGTGCGCACATTGGGTTTGGGGCCAATTGCTTAACCAACATTTGGCCACAATGTCAGCGGCAAAGTGTATTGAATTTGTTTGGCTGTTCGGGCAAAGTGCCCATGAATTTTTCAATAGCCCAAACCCTAAAAAAAAAAAGGTCTGCTCCATGCAAGAAGTTAACGCTGCACTTTCTCAGACAGCGACGTCTACGCACAATATTGACAATTCATATTTGCGCAAATGAAAAGAAAATCAATTTCACCTCTCGGTATTTACGCGTTTAACCCAAAAACGTACCAAAACTCTGCTTCTTTTTCTGTTTTTTTTTTCTCTCTCGCTACTTTTAGCTTTTTTCTTTTTTTATATGATAGCGGGCGTTGAAGGAGCCACACCTTTTACCTAATATAGTAGCAGTTTCTTATGTGGGTGAATGCTTATTATAAAAGGTAAACATTGAAGCTGAGTAGAGTAGAGTTTCAAGGAAACATGTGATGTAAACTGGGAGCAAATTGAATGTACATTATCAATCATCTAACTTATTGGCATTGCATAAACATTTATTTGCCAAGCCAGGAAAAATTCTTAACAGTGTTTGCAAATGTACAGATAGAAATTATATCAAGCATTATAGAAATCCGTTTTATAACAAATAAAGCATTTTTATATATATATTTATAACAGTTCTGTATATGATTATAATTATAGTCGTCAATATTTTAAAACAAATATTGTTTTAATGTATATTGTTTAATCGATTATTATAATATACATATATAATCAATACAGAGGTATTTTTCTAAAATTATTAATCATCAAAATAAATATATGAAACAGATTTTGGCGACCTCTTCTGATTGTTTGTTCCCCAAATGACACGATATATAATATATAAATATTTATCATCATAAAAATAGGTGCTAAAATCAGAAGCTCAAAGATTATAAGTTATGACAAATAAGAACATATGCCTGTTATTCGCCTACCTCTCTTCCTCGTGCCCTGTATTTTTGGTATGCCAAAATTTGTATATGTATTTGTTTTGTATGCATGCAAACACGCAAATGGGTCAATAGAACGCACGCTGACTGCCTTCAGACAGCCTGCGCAGCGTTGCCAACTTCAGCTGTAAACTGTGTCCGGCTAATTCCAAAAGTAAACGTGGCAACAACAACAATAACGTCTACAGCATAGCCATTGCTTGACTAGCAGGTTACCCTTTATGCTAAAAATCAAAATGAACTATCTCCATTTGCTAGCTGAATATAATTTACACAGGGTATTTTATGGCTATTAACTTGCCTATAAAATTGACTTACTATTTCTCAGATTTATTTAAGGAAACTCTAAATTATTTATTATGGATTAATATATTTTATATACATAGTTCAATATCTATATAATATATATAATATAAATAAAAATTTAAACAGTTAGCTCTGTTCGGGCCTTATTTGTCTTTATCCTACTCGCACGCTCCGACTACAGGGTATTTTTAATGCGACTTACACGAAGCTGACCGCACCCACGACGAAAGTATGCGGGCCAATTTGTTTATGGTCACTTGTTGTGGCTAATTGAGTGACGCGAGTCAACAAATTGCACACGATATGAGGCTTATGAATTTTGTATATGCACAACAATATATACTATATAGAAATTTCTGGCTGACAGATTTGGCAAGGGCCGCGTTAAGGCCTTTGTTGGCCTGCGTCGATGAGAGTAAAAGGGTTAGCAACAGCTGTCAAAAGCTGTGCTGGCCAAAAAAGAGAAATTTATATATATGATTGGCGTTAAGAAATCCCATTTGATTTGACATTTAACTGAACAATTGATAACTACGTTATGCACAATATACATTTTGTCATACCCTAAACCCATTTCAAGTGAATAAAGAGGGTAGAATGCTTTTGTGTAAATGTTTTGTAACAGATAGAAGGAAACAGAAAAAGATAATTGCAGAAGCGAGAGACTTGAAGTTTTAAATATGTGTTCTCGCAGTTCGATTTTATTATATCTTCTATAATTCCTTTCTTCTTCTTTATATAAGCAAACTCTGCCTTAATATGCCCTATTTAGGCCCAACAAATTCAACTTTAAGCACCGAAGTTAATCAAGATGCACTTCCCATTAATAATGTAGGGCAAAGAGAAGAGGAAGCAAACGGTTTATGTATATACAGAAAGAAGCTCGGCTCGGAGTATGTCCTAGTCGAGCACTCCCGAATGGAGCACCTTTTTTTGGTTTACGCTGTTTTTGTTGTTGCGGCAGGAACCGGCGAAATCAGGTTTTTAGTGGCCATTGCAAATTGCAAAATTCACAAAAAATTACATAACTTTCACTCACGCTTAAACGACGTCAATGAATGAATGCGAAACTGGACCGCAAGCTAAGCAGCAGAGTGTATGAAAGGGGATGGTGGATAAGGGGGGGAGGGCTTGCGACAGGGGTCAGCCATTGGCAGTTGAGCTATCTCATCAATGAATGCGTGTAGAGCGGCTCAGGTGTGTGGCAACTGATGAAATATTTGGCGTGCCTCCAGCTGCAGCTATGCAAATGAGGCGCAACAGGTGAATCATTGGCCAAACCCGCGGCAAGCATGGGACTGTATATGAATATATATAGCATGGGGTATGCCTAGCGCACTTTCTTTTTAACGTTTACTCATGTTGCTGTAGTTGTTGCTGTCGGGTTTTAGGCAGCTAAAACAATAACCGAAAATAAAGGCGCGTCACTCATACGCAGCGTGTGACAAGCCGACGCCCGTGGGCTCAGCTAAGTCCACAGAGCAATAACAACAACAACAACAACAACATCATCATCAATAACAACAATAACAACAACAACTTCATTTAGTGTCGCATTTCGTTGTAATATAAATGAAAGTGAGTGAATTGAGACTTTTATGTTTTTTTGTTTATTTTTGGATTTTGTTTTTGAATGGCTCGGCTTTAATAAGGTTTAATAAAAAACAACAACAAATCAACAAAACGACAAAATACAAATTGTGCTATTTCGATTTTTTATTGACGGCATTTTGTCTGAAACTTGAAAGATTTAATTCATGTAGCTCTACGCCAGAGAAATGTCGGAATGTCTGCATGCGTGTGATCGCAAAAAACGTGACTGGGAAAACATTGATGATGAATCAGTTGAAAACGTGTTTGAGCGCATGTCAATTAAATATGCAAAAAAAAAAAAGGCTTTCAATCTTATGTGAATTAAGGCAGCTGTTAAATCAGAACTTAACAAATGCTAATTATTTCTAGAGATTCCGAAAATGTATTTCAAATTTGCGCATAGCATTAGCTAGTCTCAGGAGAGTTTAACCAGAATGGTTCTAAGTGTGACCAGGCGCTTCAAATCTTTCCCATTTACGTTTATTAACACCTATTTTGATTCAACTCAAGCAATTAGCAGTTGGTAATAAGTTCTAAGAGTATGTATCGAAAGCAGTCGATACTTTTTGATATTTTTTTAATCGAAGTATTTTTCAACCTTATTGAATTTAATCTTTAATATTTAATAAAATCTTGTATGCATACAAACGAGGAGTTGAAGCAAAGACAATAAAAACTTAATTTATATTGTCTTTAATTTAAGCGAGTGTGGAACTGTTGCAGCTGTATCCCCTGGATTTAATGAACATGGTAAATTCTGGTGATATTAGTTGAATATAAAAATAGAAAAGATGTCTGAATCTATTGCATGGCGCAAATTCCATTCAAGTATCTCAGCTCTGCCGACGTTAATCAATTATATCAGCTACCGAATTGCGTATAATTAGCACCTGGCCAAATCAGTATACACCTGCCATTGCAAAATGCCCCAAAGTAGTCACAGCCCTGATAACACGCCGATGATCATAAGAGGTGCTAAACAATCTTTCGCCACGGCAAAAGGGCAAACAGTAGATGACCCATTTCTGCGGAGCCCGCCCGTAAATGGCGCAGGCTCAAAATATGCAGCAACCGGATCAATAAATTAGCAAATATCTGAGTGTTACGCGAGTCGAATGAAAGCGGACGCCCAGCGAGAGATGGGCTAGCAGCAGGGCGTGTACTATATGCGAGATATATATGCCATAATTGCCCCGAGTCCATGCGGAGCCCCACAGCTACCGCCAATGATGCCAATTGTTTGCGCTCTTCGAGCGATCCAGCCAAGCGCTTCGCTCGCTCCACTGGCCAAGTCCAAGTACAAGTTTCTCTCCGACAAAAGCTGAGGCTGAAGCTGACGTCGCGGCTGACGTCGCGGCTGACGTCGACGTTGACGTCGACGCTGCCGAATAAAGCAGTCAGCGCGAGCAGCAGAAGAAATGAGCATATTCACTTAACAAACAAGTTGACTTTATTTTTTAGTGTTTTTTTTTTTCTTTCTTTTTCTTCTCTTTTTATGTTTTTGGGGGCATTGTTGTTGTTGTTGTTCCCTAGATTTATGCATGTGCTCAGTGCCTTTTTTTCGCGTCATTATTTTTTTTTTACCTTTTTTGGTAGCTTCCGCAGTTGACGGCAACTGCGACTGCGCCCTGGCTTGGCTTGGTTTTTTATTTAATTTACTTTAAAATTGTTTTGTAACGCCGCCGCCGTCGACGTCGGCTGCGCTGCAGCTGCCAGAAAAGCTGCCCAATATAAAAGGCTAGACGTTCGCAGAGCTAGGCATCAAATTCATCTCGAGCTCAGCAGCAGCAGCAGCAGCAGCAGCCAGTCAGCAGCTAAGGATTAAAACGCGTCGCGTGAAAATTTCTAAAGAAAACTAAACTCAATTCTCGAAAATGAAAGTGTTTTCCATTGCCTGTGTGTGCCTCTTGGCGGCCAGCTGTGCCTGGGCCGCGCCCGGTGTGCAAGATAGCCGCGTCGAAAGTGATAACACGCTCGGTCGGGCCGCCCGCTACTTGGGCGCCTGCTTTGAGAGCGATGACATGGCCACCTGTTTGGCGGTCAAGGGCATTACCGCATTGAATCGCGCCGCCAGGAGCAACAACATTGAGCTCATCAATGGCGTCACCTTCCAAAGGTGTGTGCGTGTGTGTGAAAGTGAACTTTAGTGAATGGAAATATTGTGCTTTTTCAATGCGAGCTGCGTTCTAAGTTGCGTTTCCGTTGCAGAGATCCCGCCAGCCCCGTGCAGCGCAGCGGCAAGTCCCTCAGCGAGCAGGACATCTACGCGGAGCTGCCACAGAATAATGAGGAGCGCAACAGCCGTTTGGTGGATCTGGCCATAAGCAGCGCCAGCGATTTCCTGAGCAGCCACAACTTGGAATTCAAATTGCCCGCCGAGACCACACAGCAGGTGGCACGTGCTTTGGATGAAGGTACTTTCCACACTCCCAACAATTTACAAGAGCTGCACGTACTACTTCTCTCTCCACTCTCCCTCTCTCCGCTCTATTTGCAGGCCGCGGCAAGATCAAGAAGATGATTGGACCCATCGCTCTGGCCATTGGCGCCAAGCTGTTCGCCGTCATACCGCTGGTGCTCGGCTTCTTGGCTCTGTTGACCTTCAAGGCTGTGGTCGTGGCCAAGATTGCCTTCTTCCTGGCCATACTTGTTGGCGGCTCGCGTCTGCTGAGCGGCTTTGGCAACAAGTTCGGCGGCGCCGGCATCGGCAGCTCTTATGGCGGCTACAACTCGAATGCCTGGTCTGCGCCCGCTAGCGCCGGCTGGAGCTCGGGCTCCTCCTCGGCGTATCCCTATGCGCGCAGCATCACCGCCGACAATGTCCAGGAGCTGGCCTATGCCGGCCAGCAGCCAGAGGAGCAGCAGCAGCAGGAGCAGCAGTAAGCCCTTAGCAAATGTGGCTGCATTTTGTGGCCAGAAATGTGCCTTTTTAATTCGAGAAAGAACTTAGCTTATAGTAATTTATTCGAGACGTGAAGCTGACGCGTAATTAACTGTTTAATTTATTTAATTAATTTCACATTACACAACACTGTACAAGCTGCAAGACACAACACTGTACAACACATCAGCTAAAGAGTCATGACAATAAAATCGATTTATAACTTAAACTTGGCCCAATCTTGGCGAGCATTTTGGCCTTTAATTGCAGCCCAGAACTGTGGCAAGACTTTCCCAGGCAACAACAACTGGTTGGTGTCACAAAATATAAGCATGTGCACGTGTATGTGTGTGTGTGCGTGTGTGTGCGTTTGACACTCGACACTTGCGACAACAAGTTTTTTGAGCATTAAAGAAAACTTTTGGCTAGTTCTCGAGCTGGCGCAGCACAAACAGCCCAATTGGATATAGAAATGTGTGTGTGTGTGTGTGTGTGTATACGAAATACATATTTTGGTTTTGGTTTTGGCAGATGCCACGCCTCATAACAGAAATATTCCATGCCTGGGCATGGGCATGGGGGCATGTTAATTGTCGACTTTCTACTTATGCGCATAAAAAAGCGATCGGTTCGAGATATTTGTTTATGCGTGCATGTGCGACAATTTAGCTTTCTATTGCGCAGATTTGTCAAAGATTTAGAAGCAATTGAAATAGAAAACGACGACAGACACTTGACTAAAAGAGAATGAAATCGAAAGCGGCGGTTGAAAGCGCGTCTCTAACTGGGCCAAAACGAGCATTAAGCCAGCTGCTGGCGCGGCATACCAAATATGGAGGGCCAACTGGCAGCTAATAATCGCGTTTAATGAAATTCAATGGCATGGCTAATGAGAGACCGACACGGCCGGGGGCCAGCCCAAGAATCTGTGGCACATCACCAAAATGGGAATCACGTTCCTTTGGGGCGTGGCTGTTGCATGCCAATTACGATCGGCTAACGGTGAGCACCGAGCACCTGCCCCTTTACCCAGCCCAAGCCCAAACACAATTGGGGCATTTGCTTATATAAAATATATATGCGCACAGACAAAAATAATATTCAAACCGTTCGGCGACTTCCCTTTCGTTTGCGTTGACACGTGGGACGTGCCCGAAAATATGGTCAAGAAATGTTTTTTTTTGTGGGTGCCGAATTGGCCATTGGTTTTGTGTCGAAGTAGCATACGCATAAAATTTGCATAAATTGTTGTTGTTGCTGTTGTTATTGTTTTTGTTGCAGCAGTGGTGCGTTTTGGCCCGCGATTTCTAGCCACCAAATCGGACGAAGCCGTAGCCGTCGGCACGCGTACCCATCGAAAAGGTATAAAACTGCGGGCTATTGCATTCAATTAATCACAAAGCAATTTCCATTCACAAAGCCAACAGCAGTGTGTGTGCGCTGAACGCTGTGCTTAGCCAAGGACTGTCCAATAAAAACCAAGAATAAATATTCCTTTTCCCAACCAAAAAACTAAACAATAAATACAATAAAAATATGTGCGCGAAATTCGTTTGTGTGGTGCTCGTGGCGAGCTTTGTGTGCTCTGGCGCTCTGGCCCTGCCCTCGCAGGACAGCAGCGAAAAGGATTTAGTGAATATGCTCAACCGGCTGGATAACGAGGAGTCGGTGCCCCTGTTCGGCGGACTGCGCATCGATCGCAGCGAAACGGGTCGCAGCTTCGGCTCGGCCAAGGGTCTCGAATCGTTCGAGGATCGCGCCGAACGCTATCTGGAAACGCATGAGCTGAATCTCGCGTTCTCCGGTGATGAGCAGGACGAGAATGCCGAGAATGTCTACAGCGGACGCGCCATGGAGGGTGAGTCACGTTTGCCGTTTGTCACATCTCGAGCATACAAAATCAGTTAACTTTCACTCGAGCTGTTCGCTTGTGCCAGGGCAACTTTGTTGCCACAGCGATTGACAGTCGATTTGCTGTTGCAAGCACTTGTGGCAGCTGCCACGGCCCCCAGCTTGCTGCCACAGGAAATTGCGCATACGCCTCGTGCACCCAAGTGCTGGCTGACTGATTTTTTCGACTCGCGTTGCATACTTTGTGGCCGCGCCTGAAGGCAACACTTCAGCCGGCTGGCTTTGCATACTTTTGCGCCGCATTCCTAATAACAATTCGGTTTCCAATTTCGCCCTTCTTCTCCACACACACACAGAATCGCGCAGCAAGCGCATGAAGAAAATGCTGCTGCCACTGCTGTTGATTTTGAAACTGAAGAAGGCGGTCGTTGTCAAGATCATGTTCACCATCATCAAGTTCATCTCGCTGAAGGCTCTGGCCATCTCCTTCCTTGCCCTCATTCTGGCTGGTAAGTGTCTGGCAACGGGCATATTTCAAGTGGGCTTGAAATTTATGAACCTCTATCTGTTTGTTGCAGGTGCCACCTTCTTCAAGGATCTGTTGGCCAAGAAGAAGGATCACATCACCACCGCCTACATCACCGGCAGCCCCCTGAACGCCGAGATTGTGCACTCCGACTGGAACCGCAACGGTCAGGCCAGCGCCGCCGACTTGGCCTATAACCATTACGGTCTGGCTCAGCCCTTCTAAGCTGCCAAGCAACACAGTTAGCTGCCTTCCATTTCCACTTCCCCTTACCCTCTCACTCTCACCCTAAAACTTTCCATTCTACTGCCCATTTTCCTCGCCTTCCTTAACCCTATTTTCTACCCCTCTCAAGAGACTTAAACTTCCACATGGCTAAATTCGTTGTAGTGTTGTAGTCAATAATTATTTAGTTGTACTTAGTTAGTTAGCTGCGACATACCAAAAAAAAAAAAAGAGAAAAAAAAAGAAAACTTTAAGAAGAGAAAAAACATAACTTATAAAAATCAACGATGACAACCGAACATCAATGACGACTTGGTTAGCTCAGGATAACGCACACGGATCACACACATAATGCTTGCGCCATATTTATTGCACAATCAAACATGCTCTCTAATCAGACATGCAGCTCAGGTTCATAAATGAATGTTAATTGAAAACTAAGAAAAAAAGCACAAAAAAAATCACAAGAAAAGAAAACGATATGTTAGCAAGAAATTCTTATGTCTGCTAAAGAGTTTACTTACTAAGTATTTATTTATAATAATTTATAGCAATTGAATAAAAATGATTCATGAAATGCAACTTATTTGCCCGATAATCAGGGCGGGAATAAAATATGTCTTAAAGCTCAAAGTAGTCAGAACTAAAATGAAGAGAATATTCATTTGAACAACAAATATTGTTTGCAAGTCAGTTGCCAAAACGCTTGCAACAAAACAATGCAACAATTGGTATCTAACAATGTTGTTTAATGCATTGGGGCTGATGAAATTTCTAATGCATAGTAAGCAGATATACCCAACTAAGTGACACGATTTCGCTTAACAATAAAAAGCAGCCAGTCTTTTAGGACTTTAAATTTTCTACATTACACTTTCAATATTTTATTGATATGTGATTTTCCTGAAGTCATTTTGGAATATAAATTTTCTCAGTATTCTTTTGTCAAATATTGTTGTAATTATATTTAATGTCATCACTTTAATTATTATTTATCATTTGGCATTTGTCAATCATCATTTAATATTAATTGTATACTATTCATTATATAATATTCGTTATTTATCATTTATCATTCATCATTCATTATTTATCATTATTAATATTCATTATTTATCATATATTACTCATTATTTATCATATCTCATTTGTCTGTTATCTGTTATGATTTATTATTCATTATTATTATCATTATCATTGTCATTAGCATCATCATTATCATTATCACAATAATTATCATCATTATGAGTATGAGCACACGCCTGACGAGAGAGTCAACACTTGACGATTCCAGCTACCAAACACAGACAAATTAAAATGATATTAGCTAAAATACAGCCCAATTAGTTAGCTGATCCAACTTGGCTAAAAGAGACATTGTATGTTCCTAGTTATAAAATAATGAATGTACTTTGTTCGAGGCACGCGACTTTTAGCTACCCCATAATTATGTAGGTATTTGTGAGTTTTCATTTTAGCTCAGAAAATTCATTAAGATGGGGGCAGACTCTCCTCAGAGAGGGTTTTAGTGACAAAAATTAGCCGCACGTTGCGCTACGCTGAGCGTTGTGGCAGAGAGAGGAAAGCGAAAGTGCCGCCCAGTTGGCCAGTTGCCCAGTTAGTTGGACGCAGTTGAACGACTCTGGGAAGAATTTCGACCACAAATCGTGGGGTAATTAGAAAAAGTCCAAGACAGCGGGCAAACCAAACGCGGCAATGACTTTTGGGTGCTGTGCGTAGTGAAAGGGAAATGGGTATAAAAGGCAAAACCATAAAAATGAGCTGCTGCAGTCGCTCAAGAGTTCCACAAATCATTGGACATACCATAGCCAAACAGCATGTTGTTGCTCAAGACCTTGGAGTATTTGTTTTATCTGGCCTGGTTCTGTTTCCTATGCAAATATGCCGAAGCCGCAAGCGTACAGCCCACAGCAGCGGCGCCCCAACTGCAAATGGAGTCGCTGCCATCAACCCAAAAGCATCCAACGATGAGTCTAAATGAGTGTGAGACAACCACATTCAGTTGGATGTGCCTGAAAATCGAGTTTGTGAAGATCATGGAACGTCTGGCCGAGCAGCAGGAGCTGAAACTTCTGCCGGGCGTGAGTGTGGTCAAGGATGAGAATGCCACAGAGCTAAAAACTTCCGAACTAATGGCTGGTAAGTTAAGTCTTAGCTTGTAATGAGACGAACAGAAACAATATAATATAGTAGTCAGATTTGATATGCTATTGCTAATATATTAGCAGAATATAACAGACCTAAATGACTGAGAAGAATTTAAGAATACATATTAAGAAAACATCTATTTCTATCCATTATTCATTTCGTGGCAAATTTATGCTGTATATTAAATTTAGATTTTGCTATTAAGAATGTTCTTCCAATCATTTCTATTTCCACAGAGGTTGCACGCAGCTATCCCAGCGATCCGCATACGCGTCTCAATGGTTATATTATGGCCAAGTTGGAGAATCTGTTGAAGACGCGCGTGCTGCGCTTTCGTCTGCTGGACGAGACGAGTCTCGAGGAGGGACGCAAGCACAAGTTTGGCAAGAAGGGCGGCATGGAGGCGCTACTGGCAGTTGGCCTCATGATGAAGGGCATGATGATGGCACTGGGCATGGGCGCGATTGCCATGATGGCCGGCAAGGCGTTGATGACGGCGCTGATGGCGCTAACGCTCAGCGGTGTGCTTGGCCTGAAGAGCTTGGCCGGCGGCGGCAAGTCCACAACCTATGAGATTGTGGCCAAGCCCGTCTACACGTCCAGCCACTCGCATTCGGTTAGCCACGAGGATGGGCATGCCCACAGTCCACACTTTGCGGCCGCAGCTGGCGGCAGCGGCAGCGGCTATGGCTATGGCGGCTATGCGCGTTCGCTCCACCTGCAGCAGCCCAGCCAGCTGCAGGCGTTGTGATTTAAATATTTATATTAATTATTTATAATATTTATCAAAATATTTATTGTATTTAACTGAATTGAAACACGAAAAAAACAAATAACAAATGATTAACAAGAAACAAATGAAAAGTCATTTATCATTTTTTTTTTATCAAGAACCGAAACTGAAAAAAACCTGAGAAATCCAAAGCGAAACAAGTTTTGATTGATGTACAATAAAATATATTTATACATATTTATCTCAATAAATATATATATATATACATATATATATATATATATATATATATATATATAGCTAATGGGGTCGGACACATAATATAAATTTATATATATTTATCTTAATATATTTAAAATGAATATATATAGATGTCTTAGCCACATTTCGTGCAACACTAAAGCAACCCTCTGTGAAAGGAATTTCTACTCGTTAGTGCGACAAATCGATGCCTCTAATTCAATTCGATTTAAGTAGCAGCCGCATTATTTTATTATATTTGGTTTCCATCAGACCCATTGCCGTTCTTGCTTTCAAATGTTTAAGTCGCTGCTCTGCACGTATTTGCTTCACATGCTTCTAGTCCTTGCCAATGGCGACGAAGGTGAGCATACAGGTAAAAACTGAGGAAAACAACGTTTATCGTGCTCAAATACTGTATGTTGTTTTCAGTTTGCGATGACATGGGCCTCTGCTTAAATAACTGCGGAGTGGAAATTGATAGCGCGACGCCCTGTCCAGCCGATACGAAATGTTGTTTGGGATTTCGATAATGCTAATATAATATATATATATATATATATATTATAAATACGTGCTGTGGGATATATCATATGTTTATCGAAAATAAAATCCAAATGAGCTTCTATACACAAATGGTTTTTCTTAAATTACAATTTTGTAATGAGAGGCAGTCTATTAATCAAATTAGCCACGCTCTAATGGAAATAGAAAGTGTTTCAGCCTGAGCTACATATTTGAACAATTTCCATCTCATGTACAATAACCGGATCTAGTTTTAAACTCCCAAGATATAAAGTACAATCGCGTACAATATCGAGGAATATTTGATATACCGTCGTAGGACAAGAATTTTAACGCTTCAAATTTCAAAATTTTTTGTAAAGTACAAGAAAAATCGAACGTGTCAGCAAGTCCCATAAGAATGTTGCATACATATTGCATATATCTATAAAATATACCAGATGACAAATTTAAACTTAAATTAATTGAATTAAAGTTCACAATATCTGGATTCAGTTTTCTACACAATATTTTAGTTGTCTGCTGCAATATTATTTATAAATGAATCAATTATTCAATTTTTAGGATAGTGTGACAATTTCATTAACAGATTTAAAGCGGTCAATAGACCGTAGAATATAGTTCTGCACGTGTGAATGTTAAATTAGCGAATTCACATTTGTTTAGTTTCTCTTCTAACCTAATTTAAGGCAAGTTTGATTTTTGTCATAAAAGGCGCAGAACAGACATGGGAAGATCAGTTGTTTCATAGCCCAGTACAATGAAGGCGCATTACAGTGGTAAGAAATAGGGAAATGCCTAGTTGAAATTGTCGAGTAACTAGCATTCGCTTTGCAGTTGTATTCCTGGTGCTATGCACAGCCTGGACTTGCACGGCAAATCCGACAGTTGTTCCGGCTAAGTTGAATGCAACGGCGACAGGCAAAACGGAGTCCATTACGTTGGAGGTGTTGGTAGAGCAGGATCCAGAGTCAAAGCAAGCACCTATAACAATCGAGGAACTAGAAGACGAACTGTCTAGGGAGCTGGATTACGACAATGAAATAGAGCCAGAGCCAGAGATTCGTCCGACCAAGAGACCCAAACGCCCTCAGGCACAAAACAAACGGCCGACTCCCCATCATCATCATCATCAGCATCCACAGCCGATGTCCGATCCCATGCCATATTACGCCGCACCAGCTCCGATGCCATATTCCATGCCATACCCCATGACATATTCGACGCCATATTCACAGTGCCCGTACAACCAGCCGCCGTTTTCGCCTTATCCAGCGCCTATGTATCCACCGCCATATCCATTCCCGGGCTACAGTCCGAATCCATATCCCTTCGCTCAACCCACCGGCTTGAAGTCGGTGGCGGATCCCACGGACACCACAGAAGTAGTTAACGTGGAAGAACTGCTTAAGTTTGCCAAGTTCTGGAATAGTAAAGCCGCAGCTGCTAATACTACTACTACAGTGGTCAATACTACCGTTGCCACAAAGCCACCAAAGCGCTTCCTTATCAAGAACTGGATTAGAAACAAGATAAACAGTAAAACAACAACCACTACCACTACCACAACAACCACGCCTGCGCCGGCGGCTTAGAGCTTCTCCATTACAAGGGAAAATTTCCATAGAACAAACCCCTGCTTATCATTCTATCAATATGCACCAAGCCTATTTATTTATTTATTTATTTATGATTATATACAAATAAAGAAAATTAATTACACTAGAGAATACGTTTGCTCGTCGATAGATTTCTGATAATATCCCTTACTTTGTTGTGTATATGAATATTGTCAATATTTTAGGAAAATCTAACAAAAATTGTTTTGAATGAAATGGAAATTTGTTATGGATCTACATAGGATAAAATTCTAAAGTAAGGAAGTAAGAGGTTTTAGTCGGGAGCTCCCGACTAGGGTATACCTCTTCCCTTCTGAACCCTCTTCTTCCAACATCAAATGAATATTTATATTCTATTTTAGAAGCTTTATGTCAAGTTTGGTGACTCTAGCTCTTATTATTTACCAAAATTGCCCAAAAAACAGGATATCGATATCGATTTTTATCGATTGCTTGGAAACGGAGTAAGTTATCGATTTTCGGAAACAAACTCGATCTACGCAGGCACTAGGAGCATCTACATCTAAAATTTCAAGTCTCTAGCTCTTATAGGTTCAGAGATCCTTGCGTTCATACATACGGACGGACGGACGGACAGACAGACGGACATGGCTAGATCGACTCGGCTATTGATGCTGATCAAGAATATATATACTTTATGGGGTCGGAGATGCTTCCTTCTGCCTGTTACCCTGCCTGTTACAATACAATATACCCTTGTACCCATTTTTAATGGGTTCAGGGTATAAAAATATTTATACAAATTATTAAAAACCAAAAAGAATTTAGAAACCCTTTCCAGCACCTGTTATACATATTTTCTTAATAAAAAAATACTTTTTTTTTGGTTGAAAATAAATAATAATTTTGCGACGTCACAACGAATAATTAGTTCACTTTCCTTTGTGCTAACTTTGCAGTTTTGCCAATTTCTCTGGCCATATTAGCAGCTGCTCTTGCTTATTTGTTTAACAGTTAGCGAATTAGACTTTTAAAGTTTATTAATCAATAGGTTTTAGTGCTGGCATATCAATGTATTTAAAGGCCGAAGTGAGCCAGAAGGGAAATTAGTCGCTCCCGAGCCACGATGAAGTTCCTTTATACAAGTAAGCGTATTAGTTGTTTGTCTAAGGCAAATAATTCCAATTTACTTTGTCAACTTTAGCTCTACTTCTACTGCTGAGTGTGTCATGGTTATGCACAGCAGAGGAGTCTGAAATAAAAAATCCTGCTGAACCGACGACATCCGCCAAAGCGGAACAAATCAACACAAATGGCGTAGAGACACAGACGCAGCTTCCTACCAAGAACTTTGCATTTGAGACCAAAGAGGAAACGCCATCCATTGCTATGCTTAGATTCAAGAATTTCTTAAAAAGAAAATGGATGCAAAAACTAGGCACAACAACCACAACCGCAGCACCAGCCACAAACCCAACGGAGCCAACCTTTAGGAAAATCGATTTAGGTGTAAAGCCAGAATTTTGAAATTTAATTTTCCATTTCATAGCTCATTTCATTTTTGATTAATTATTGTCTGTAAAGCAGTGAAAGTTATTTAATGCAATATAATATTTGAAAAAAATGCACTTGGCGAACAACAATCTCTCCTCAAATCGCAGGCGGTGTATGAATTGAGTATTACCTTGATATTGGGCTTATAGCTTATGACTATATCCTATAGTTTTAACCTGTAGAAATACAAGACTTTGTCTGCACGGACTTATCAATGTCGTAATACCTAGAATGCTTCCTTAAACGAAATGTCGGGGCTTAAAATATTCCATCTCGTAGTAGGAGTTAAAAAAGCAGTCAAATAAGTGGGATTTGCAAAGGTGACGTCATGAGCTTGCACCTGACTTAGGTGCTTGAGCGTCGGGCCAATAAGCGAGCGGTCTCTGGCTCTAATCAACTAGCAATATAACAGTTTAAATACCCTTACAGAGGTTGTCACAATTTTCTCGTTTAATGTGAAACGCATAGAAGGAGACATATCCGAGTCATTAAGGTATATATTTATTAGGATGATACAGCCATGTCTGTCTGTCTGTCTGTTTCGAGTCTGGTCTCTCATTTTTAAGGCTACCGTATTCAAACTTTGCATAGATTCGGCTTTCTATTTCCAGGCAGTACATCGGTCGAAAGGAAGGTTCTTGTATGGAAAACTTTTTTATTTAAGGTATTTTAAGCAAACTCGGGAGATATAGGTTTCACTTTGCTCCCTACATATGGTATATACAAAATCTTATCAACATCGGATAGCTATGTGTTGCGATCTTTACATTTGCGACCTTTACTATTATCACATCAAATGTCAAACAAATATCTACAAGGATATTAAATCTTTGACGTGTTGAAGATATTCTAGTATCCTTTTCGTTAACATTTCTTGATTTAATTGCTTAAAGTTATTCAAATGTTTTAAGATTTGATTTGATTTGATTGTTTTGACAATAGTTTATAGACCCACAGACAGACAAGCTGCAGGCAGATTTTATATACAATTGATTTTTAAATATGATTTATTTAAGCCGAGTAAGTTTATCAAGTAACAGTGATCCAAATCCGTTAAATCCAAATCCGTTTCAACTTAAACTAAACATAAAATAATAACTTAAAATCATGTTAAAAATTTTGCAGCATACTTTTAGGCGACTTTAAATTGAGCTATCTGTTGCGGCTATGGCCCTATAAGCCGAATCGCTAGCACCCAATGTTGGCCACATCTGGTAGCTGGAACCCGGTTCGATGCGGCTGGCAACTCGATTCAGTTTGTGCTCAACAGTTGCCGACATACAACCATTCGTCGCGTTGTGCGTGTGAAAAAAAAAACAACCACGAGATAAATCTGAAGAAAAAAGGCCAGACTGTAAAAGTGAAAGAGGCCGTCGCTAGTAATTTGACAAGATTAATTCTTAATATGAAGTTCGTGAAATTTGTTGCCATTTGCAGTGCAAGCAAGCGAAAGTAACTATTAAAACAACAGCAGCATCAATTGTTGTTAATTAGACGTCACGCAAGAGCAAAAGCGCGAGTTAGAAGAATGCGTTAATTGATAAGCGCGTGTGTGTGATTGTGTGTGTGTGTGTGTGATTGCCACACAATCAAAAGTTAATAACTGCAACTGTAGCTGTAAGTAAAAGACAATATGCAAACATTTGACCCAGTTTTGACTGCAACCGGCCAACTGACTGCATGACTAGCCAAAAAAAAACAGCAGCTGCCTGCGGGGCCAAGGCTGACGTCCGGCGGCCTATTAAAAAAAAAAACAACCTGGCCTTTCCGCTGTGCAACAACAACAACAACAACAAGAAGACATAAACCTGTTAGCCCGCTTTTTTGTCGCTGCATTTCTCCAGCGCAAATTACGAGCAATGCGCATGTAAAAGTGAAACTTTTGGTCTTGCCCCCAAATGTGGCATGTAGCATGCGGCTTGCCACCACACATGTCTGCATACACTTAATTAAAGTTCTGACTGCCAGAATTTCATTGTCGTTCTACGCTCGCTTGAGTTATTAGCTCAAGCCAGCTGAGCATCGCAGTAATGCTCTAATACCCAACCAACAACAACAATAACAACAACAACAACAACAACAATAAAGCGTGCACATTATTCTAGCAATTAGCCAGGCTATAAGCTGCCGGCATGCCATTCAGTATTTTGTTGTTAAACACTAATCAGTATTTACATAGAGTTTATGCCTCAAGCCATGTTTAACGCCAAAACATATTTCACTTGTCATGCCAAAAGTTAGTTACAATTCAACAAATGACACATATCTATTTATATAAATAACTATATATATGAACTAGGTCTCGGCCAAGTTGAGTCGTAAACAAAATTCATCCCAACATCCTAATTCGAGCGACAAAGGCCCCGCCAAGCTGCCAGGCACATGAGGTTTTGCCAGCAACTTATCTGGCCCCCAATCGGGCTAAGTCAAGGACAAAACCAGGGATAAGCTGCGCCTTTTCACCTGCTACCAAGGTGTGAACCTGTGCCCAATTTAGATTGGCCTACTTTGTGGCAGCATTCGGGCGACTGTCGCTTATACTCTGGAGCCTTGTCTGGCATGAAGCTGCATTTCAAATGGTTGCAGCATTCAGAGACCAGCACAAGTTTAAGATGGGCCTTGTATCCACGAGGGGCAAGTGTCATGTTCAGGCAACATGCATGCAATTGGCAGCAAAAAGCAAAAAAATATATATGTGGGGCGCATTTCGATTCGCTGCAATACAGGAAATTCGCATATATATGAGTTAGTTAACCTTCACTGGGTATACTTTAAAGTTAAGTTAAATAAACCTTCACTTCTGCCCTAACTGACTGACAGGTCAGTTTTAAGCTCATTTTCGAAGAACTTATCAAAAATTTCACACATGCTCCACACTTTTCAACGGAAAGGCCGTTCGTTCGCGTTTTGTCCGATTAGCTTCACAATTATGTTCAATTGATGTTTTGGCCGGTTCGAGCTCTTAATTTACAATTTAAACAAACACGTTTTTCTTTTCCTTAACTTCAACTCAAAACAAGTAAGAGTTTTGAGAAAACTCGACCAGCAAAATGCTTGGAAACGATGCAGAGTATTATTAGAAAGGATCAATTTGTCATCTAAGTCTGGCAACATCAATCTTGGTCAAAATTCATGTGAAAATGGTACCCTCAAATATACTACATATAGGTTAAAATTTCCCACTCGGTCAAATCTCATTCGAATTTGTTCATGGTTTGGCCTCTAGATCAGTTTGACATCTAAATCTAAAAACAATGCTCTTGTTTTAGGCATTGTTCGAAATTACATCAAACTTATATTTAAAGCTCTACATTATGACTTATTGAATACATTTTTATACGGGCAAGGCCGGGGTATACCCGCTAATAAGTATATATTTGTAATTACGTACTTACCTGTAAATTCACACGCATGATTATTTAATCGTCTGCTATCAGTTGACGGAGACGAACTTTTATAGAAACACATCGCTGAAAGAACGGAAAGAGATAATGTTAATTGGCTAAAAAAAAGCAAACT